TCATGGGCTCAGCACGGACTTGCAGAGGTGACCCTGGAGCACCTGATCAAGCAGAAGGCGCAGTCACCCAGCTGCGTGCACATTATCCCAGTGTCACTATCAGAATCGAGAGGCAAATTTGGAATCCAGAGCCGCGGCCCTGATTCTGCCAAAGGTTGCATTCACATGTGCAGACAGATGTTGGTGTGCTGCAGAATCCTTGGATCAAATGCGAGGATGAGACGGGAGCCACGGCGTTGCACATTGCCGGAAGCTGAGCATTTGCAGTGCATTTGCAGAGGCATCGATGTGAGCCTTCAGTCGCTGCGAGGCAACCACACGAAACATGCCCAGCACTGTCTCCTGGCTTCTGCGCCACAGAGTCTCTCGGCATCATTGGTGCTCCCGCATGTTTTGATGGACCGGCCTCTTAGGCTGACTGCTTTGCGAAAGATGGTCGCTTTTCTGCAGGGAATCAAAACTGACGTGCTTTGAAGCCGTTGGTATAGGCGGCCCTGCAACAGGCGACGGCTACCACGCCTTGACATGGGCCGGCGCCTCGGCGCGTGATGCAGCACGACACAGTGACTCTTGGGGATGCGATCCCCAAAGAATTGTGAGGCCTGCATCAAGGGCCATCTGCAGATCGTGAAGATCCTGCTGGAGGCATGTGACAAACCAAAAAAAGTTTTCAAGCAGAGGCAAAGGCAGATACCAGGCTCGGGCCAGCATCGAAGAAGCTGCCAGTTCCAGTGGCAAGACGCCGCCGCTTGCCCTTAGCAGCCTTAGCAGCCTTAGCATGGAGCGACTCTCAGCTTCCCCCTCGCCGTCCTCAAGATGTCTCTCAAGGTTGTCGCTGGCTGCCGAGCGTGGCCACATGGAAGTGGTGGAAGAGTTACTGGCAAAGCAGGCGTCCGAAGAGTGCAGCCCAAAGGCCCAAAGTCGTCGTTTTCGTTGACACTTCAGAGGCTCGGCTCGACCAGACCAACACAGACGGAAGCACCCCACTCCATGCCGCAGCTCATCTGCTGCTTAGCTGGAACAGACTTGACGATAAAATTCTGCATACTGCGTAGCGGCTCAAAGTTCTCACACCCGGCCAGGTGTGAAGTGGAAGTCGTTGCACGCCTGCTCTCCCGGACACCACAGGGGTTAGCCATGTCAGATCCAGATGAAGATCTGCGTAGCTTGGGCATCTCCTTTCTTGGCTTGCCTTGCTCTCTTCAGGAAGTCCCTTGTGAACGTGGCAGACAACGAGGGTTGGACCCCGCTGATGCGCCTGCAGCAGCGATGTGTGTTCGTATCTTTGCCACCGATGAGGCCGGCAAAGAGTGCCATGCTAGGTATGCAGTGAACTCCCCTGCTGCTGCATCAGACAGCGAGGGTCTCAGGAACAGATTGCAAGCCTGAAATGCATGAAGATGTGACAAGCGGAGCAGTCATGAGGTGTGAGGCCAGAGCTCAGCGAGCGAAAGGTCTGCGTGCTCAGACGAGATCAGTCGAAGGTCACAACTCCAATGGCATCGATCAAGCCTCCAACCAAGGTTCACATTGAAGGGGCGATTGGAAGAAAGTCTACGTGGTGCTCCAAGCGGGTGCATGCATGCGCGCACACACACATGTGCAAGTGAGGGAGGGAGGGAGGGAGGGAGTGAGGGAGGGAGGGAGGGACATGACACAAGACGGCAATCCAGACACACCCAACCCAGCGACAACAGTGGCAGCAGACTTCGACACAGCAACACAGCCAGCACAGCAACCTGCCCGGTTCAAAGCGACACCATCACAAGCAGTAGCAGCCGCAGCAACAGGGAACGAAAGCGAACGAGGCTGGCCAAGCGAAGGCGAGAACGCAGATAGAACGGAGCTCTGGCAGCGAACCCAGGTCACAAGCACAGTTAGGAACCAAGTAGAGCCAGAGCCTAGAAAGCCCCATAAACGCGACCCGCAGATGCAGTCACCGGGAATGGGCTCAGACACCTTGAACCTCATGCAGCGAGGCACGACTCACAAGTACGAGACACTTCGGGAACCGCAAGCGCGAGCAGCAGCAGCAAGAGCCAGACGGTGCCTGTTGAGGGTCGTGGAGTTGACGTGCGGAGAAGCCTTGCTGCAAGCGCAACAAGCGCTGGCAGCGCTGCAGCCACCCACCGCAGAGCACCAAACCAACTTTGAGGCAGGGGTCAGCAGCAGCAGCGGGGAACCATACGTGCACGGAGGACATGGATGCGCGCCGCCGCCCAACCCGCACGAGACGGCGAGTGACCTGGTGACCTGCAAGTCGCAGCCACATGCAGCCACCATCGAGGCGCTCCACGACATGGGAGGAGCAGCCCTGAACGACATCTTGCATGAGACAAACACAACGGATCCTCAGAGAGGGCACCCAACTCTTCCACAATGGGCTGCGAGCGGGGAACTGGTACGCCGAGCAAGCAGACGAAGTGTGCGAAGGACTCCTACCCAGCTTGGAGACGGCAGAAGAGGCCGAGGCACCCAGCCGACGGCATAGCATACGACGGTGGGGCCGACTCTCAGCCTGACCTGCCCCACAACAAGAACTTCCACTCAGGGCTATGGGGAAGTTGCGGAGGCATGCTCATGCCCTTCCTACAAGGTGAAACCATGTGAAACCCAAGCCGTTGCCGGCGAAGCCCTCGCCGACCTCTACACGTGGAGCACACAGTTCTGGGGTGACGTCGTGGGTTTTCTTTTTTGTTCGAGAATCTGCCTTCGAATGCGTTCACACTGCATTCTTGGCACCCGCAATAAGGGGGGGCGCACGCACGCGGGGCGGGGAGATGCGGGGAGGCAACTCCCCACCACAGCACTGGCGAAAGAAAGACAGAAAGACAAAATAAATAATAAAAAAGAGTGCGGAGGCAGGCCCTGTGTTGAGGGTTCGCTCGGCATCAGTCGGTTTGCAAGTTCGCCCCTAAGCACTGCGAAAGAAACAGCGTGTGCAAGTTGGTCGTGCCGAGTGTATCTCTCAGTCGCTGAGCCCTCCAGTGCACGAATAAGTGCGGGAGTGGGAACGAGTGACCTGCTCCCTGGCTGTGCTGAAAAGTCTATAAGGTGGGTCCGACTTCCTGATATGTCCAAGAATCGCTGAAGCCTAGTCCGGGCGACACAGAGGGAAAAAATGTAAGACCTGGAAGAGGGAGGGCAGCAAGGAGGGACCTCCAAATGAGCGTGTGCGTGTAATTGTGTGTGTGTGTGTATGTATATATATATATAGATATAGATATAGATAGAGAGAGAGAGAGAGAGAGAGAGAGAGAGAGTCTGTGTAGTGATTCTCACGCCTCCTCAAAGCCCCATAACAACATGGGGGGCCCTAGTGGCCGGGGGGCCTAAACAGCCTCTCAAGCCCTGGCGAAGAAGTCTGTGTAGTATATGTAGTATGCATCTATGATTGTGCGAGGGTGGGTGCTGGGTGGGTCGGCGAGTCTCTCTTTGTCTCTCTCGTCGTCCGTTTGAGTAGTCCACGGCATCCGTGAAAAAGCATCTGTAGGCATCTCCTGTTGGATTGCTCAAGGGAAACAGATTTACCGTGCATTCGTTACATTGCAACGAAGGCAGCCCTGAAGGGTGCTGAACAGAACAGAGAACATCTCAGGCTTTTAGCGACGGTCAAAATCTGACACGCGCGACGTGTTCAACTGCTTTGTCAGCGACAACTCCCAGAGGGTTCTGAAACGTCTTCAACCGAGTGCAGAGGTTGGAGCTGCTACTGTTGCACAAGGCGGATGCAAATGTCTTCATCTCGGGAATTCGCGAGTCCTCAACTCAAGACGCCTTGTGATCTTGGAGTTAGGCACAGTCGGTGGATGGCTTTAGCCCCTTGATAATCGTCTGTGCGTATGTGCGCTGCCAAGCTCACACTGCAAGTTTGTTCATCTGTGGCGCCGAAATGCAAGTTTCCAGTCTCAGGATCGGCCTCATGCCGTGAAGCAGCTGCTGGACGCCAAAGCCCAGGTCAACATGGCCACGATGATCCTCAGCCGCAGTGCGCGCGAGCTTGTTGCACGGAGCTTTTCAAAGACCGAGGAAGGGTCAGTCGGCGATGCTGATGGCCGCAGTGAATGATTTGCCAGTGGTGGCAAAAGCTTTGATTGCGGGAAATGCGGACGTCAACCAGGCCCGGGCTTCGGCCAAAGCTGTCCCATATGTGCTGCTACGCTGCATGCTACAGTCTGCTACAGGCCAACGGCAAGGGTGAAAGCCCACTCTCTGTTTCTGAGAAGAACGGCTTCAGAGAGGTTGTTCCTCGCTCAAGTTTGAGAGGTTCTTCGGACGAAGACTTTCCGTCTTGTGAGTCTCAGGCTGACCTCTTGAAGAGTGCTGGCGCTTTGCCCCCAAAGGGCGGCAAAAAGAAGGGCCGCCACTTATCTCAAATTTGAGGACGAAACGAAGCCATTGCTGTCAACCCTCAGCTTCACAGCCTCACTCGACCAAGGAAAGTAGCACACCAAGCTCGGATGAAATGAATTCGCAGCTCACTTTTCACCGATACAAGGCGATGCTTGCACATGTATAGTCTTGTTTAACAGAATTGCTGCCGTCATCCAGTCAACGGAATGCCTGCATCGGATAGCTCCAATCCGCCAGCCTTCCAGTCGCGAATGCTTGGTGCCGATTGAAAAAAAAGCCGTGTCACAGCTGCAGACATGAACGCGAAGATGCCTGGTGTGCTGTGTTCCCAACCAGATGCCCCGTCCCCTCGACATCCCTCGACGCTCAAGCTGAGGATCCCAAAACATACACAGAGGATATCATAGGATCATCCAACAGCTCCGTGAAGTGTCAGGGATCCAGAAGTCCACGAGTCTATGCGAGCCTGAAGCTGGCGAAAAGGTTCAGATTTTGTGGGCCATGAAACCTCCCACCCCTGAGACGACTCGCCCACCGTCACTCCGCATCCAGTTTTGGAAAGGCTGCTTGAGCTAGCCTTCAGTTCTCGTGGAGGAGATCTGGACATGAAGAGCTGAACAAGGGCACAGCTGCCACGCAGTGTGACTATGATGTGGTACCGCATGCTGGCAATCTGGACAGCCTATGCTGTCGAGCCCTTGGTCTTGCAGGTCCCTCGCAGGAGTTTCATCCAACTCAGGCTGATGTCTGATTTCGAGGACTTGAGTCACGAGAATCTCCTTTCCAAGTGGGTCGAAGGAATTTGGACAGGTCTTCAGAGCAGCGATGCAGGCGATCCACGCGATCCAGGGAACTGTCTTGAGAGCTATCGGCCATCCTGGAACATTACGCGGCCCAGTTACTTCGACAGCGGCTTGGATGAGGAGCCACCAAGACGCTACACCTTGCAAGTGGACACAGACAAGTTGCTAGATATTGCTGGCCCGGCAGGACGCTTGATAGTATCCTGGACAACCGGTGGGCCAAAGCGATGGTCCATTGCCCAGAACCTAGCCCTCTCGATTCGAAGGAACACCCCAGAGCTGGAGCCCATTTTTGTTTTCATCGCATTGGATGCCGACGCAGTTCGACGTGCACGGGATTCCGGCTTCAATGCGGTCTTGAACGACGGCTCCGGCGACCTGCAAGATGATATTTGGAAGATGCGCTGGCTGATTCAGACCACTTGCGTTTCCTTGGGCCTCGAGGTTCTTGTGGTTGATTCCGATATTGTATTTCTGGCAGATCCCTTCCGCCATTTCTTCTTCGATTCGGATGTGGAGGCAATGACAGACCATTTTTTCCCTGCAGAACAGCTTTGGGCGACATGGCTACGACCTGCTGAGCACATCAACACTGGCTTTCTTTTTGTCCGCCCCTCTGCTCGACTGCTGGTTCCGGGGCAGAGCTTCAGCACAAGGGTGTTTCACAATGTGTAGTCTGTAGTAGGATGTACGCAGCTTCTTTACTGTTACATCCGTTCTTTGCGAGGCTTTCCTAGTAGAGTTCATCGACGTACACTACCACGGGCACGAGGGTCCCACTCCTCGAGACGGAATGGACCAACGAGTCTTCAACAAGTTCGTCATGCACAAGATGGAGAAGAGCCCGCCCGAGGCCGGAAACAACGCCATCTGATTTGCCAGAGTGGACACCCGACTGCTGGAAGTCGGCACTCTAAATGTTTCTAATATGCATATAAGCCATCCTTGTCTCATTTCCAGCTTGAGAAGAGCGTGGCCTGGAGGTCGTAAGCCGCTATGAGAACATCACCTTCTCAGGCTTGGATTGGCAAGGCAAGACCCGCCGCTTTACGCCTAGAGCGACGTGGGAAGTGCCAATTGGATCCAGTGACACTATCACGATACGAATTCTGGATCCTGCGACTCGCCACTGTCATAAAATGGTTGGTCAGAACTTTAGAGTGAAGAGGTGTCAAGAGGCAATTCATGGAAGATATCCGGTATGGTGAGGTCACGTTTGATTGTCATCCTTGGCAAGGTTTGCATTTCGCATGGAATGAATTACTTTTGGCGCAAGGCTGGGCAGTGAGTGGTGTCTCAAGACTTTGCAATCTTTGCAGCACAAATTTAAGTCACAGTATGGCTTTAGCAACATATGCATCTGAAGTCTGACAGGCCTACAAGCTAAAGAGCTGTGATGGCAGTGGGCAACCTCCAGCTGTTGTTCATGTCAACGGCGTCGATCCAAAGATGTATTTCCTCCGTGCCTTGGCAGGTACTTGATTGTCGCCGCCGTGAAGCTCAAGAGGTAGTAGCGGTTCGCATTCCGAGGTGACAGGAACCTTTGGTACGTGAATGACTGGGATGACAGGTTCAATGACTCTACATCGTTTCTCGTGTACCACCATCCAAAGGGCTTGAACCTGTCAGCTGATTTTGAATTCCTGATTGCCGCTCTCGAGATCGGAGCATACTTTCGGCGACGTGTCGTGCTACCCGACACCATGAACTGTGCAAACAGCCCTGCCTACTTGATCTACAACCTGAGCGAAACGATGGTTGACGAACCAGGCTGCACATACGACTATTTCGCCCACGCAAATGGCTTGTATGAGGTGTATTCTCGCGTAAAGCCCCGTGCCTGCACCCGCAGTCCGTCCTTCGGTCACGGGATGTTATGGGTAAGGGGAGGAGCATGGCTTTGCACCGCTTCTTCCACGAAAGGCTTGAATCTCGATCATAGGAAGTTTCTTGGGTCGTACTGGTAGCTGGGATGACAACCTTGGAACTTGGCTGCCCAGGCCCTATGCCATCGAGGCGGGCATTGCTCGAGAACCACGCTTCAAGGAACTGTCCATCCAGCGGCTGCGTGGGTCGCTGCAACTGCGAGAGGAGCTGCTTTCGGCCCACGCAGAGCGGAGGGCCGCCTTTGCTTCAGCTCGTGTCCTCGAAGTCGACGACATCATCCTGCTGCGCGATGGCCTGCGCAGTGGGAGTTTTGGACTCCGAATGAATCCAGAACACGTTTTCAGCTGTGCATTCCAAGAGCCGCTGATTGGTGCAATGGCTTGCTTGGATGAGCCCTACGTGGAAGAGTTCGGTGCAGAGGCCATGTGTGAAGCGCAAAGCTTCGTAAAGGGATGTGGGCCCGTGGGAATCTGTTGCTGCTGGCCGTTTTGGGGATGGGGGGAGAAGCTGCAGTATTTCACTGGGGTGAAATGGGACTTGCCGTGCAACTGTGGTGTGTCCGCGTGCGAGACCTTCAGCCGCCGTCTGGATTCTGGCAGCGAGAACTGCTGCCGCCATGCCGGTAGTACAGCGCTCTTCCCTGTGACGGATCCGGGAGTCTTTTATTGTGAGACGAACTTCAGCTTCCTGACTGCAAAGAGACATGCGAAGCAAGAGCATCACTCCCTCTGCACTTCTCAGGTTTAGGGGGTGTACTTGTCTATTCTACAGACCTACAAGCTGTTGAAACTGCAGGCTGGTCAGGACCAACCGGAGCAGAGGACCCCAAGCTGCGCAGGGCGACTGTGCGCGGGTTTGATTGTCAACATATCGTGCAGGACAGCAATACGTACACATCCCAGGCCCTGGTTGAGTTTGCTGCCAACAAGCGCACGGTGCAGCAAAGCTTCCAGACCTGCAGCACCACGACTCAATCCATCCTCTGTCGTTGCCCCTGTATTGCCCCTATGTTTAAATCGACTTCGCCCGACAGGCGCAAGACATCACAAGATACTGTAGCTCTCGTGGACGGAATGCTGCCCACACCAACTCACTTGTTTTGATACCTCCATTTGCAATTAGCCCCAAGGCTTGGATCGATTGCTTCGCAGGGGCGATGCTTTCCCTGAGACGACGCTGCGGGAGTGCCAGCCGGCAGCAGTAGCAGTACTCAGTAGCATGCGCAGGATACTATTTCCATTCCACACCGACTTGACTCTAGAGTCTGGAGCAGGATCTAAAGCCAACGAAGCCTGCATTGTCGGGGCACTGCTACAACACAGACTCAACCCCGGGGACGGAAGACCAAGGCAATCTTCAGTTCAGTCAAGAGCTCAAGAGCCATGTTGTGCATGCAACATGGCAGAACCAGAGCTGGTTGCGTTTGTTCTGCAACACTAGATAATACGACTCTAGCGTGCTTAACAAGGCTCTTTCCTCCTGAGACGCTCCAAGTGGAGGCAGCTCCGCAAGTGGCTGGTCAACCCCTCAGAACTCAGCAAGACTGGGGTTTTACGCCTTGCACCCCATGTCTTTGTATCTTGTTTCAAGCCATCTCAAGCCACGGAAGTTTGCACAGTTTGCAGAAAGCAGAAGACACGCGCGCGTTGCCTGCGTTCTCAGCGACTCACCAAGCACGCGTTTTGCACACCCGACTCTGCACCACGGAAGATTTTACAGAACAACCGCTGCTGTCTTTAAGTCCAACTTAGCACATCAAAACGAAGGAATGAACAGCTACTGCGAACTTTGCTTCGAAGTCTTAGCACATGTTTTCGCCATGGTAATAAGAGCCTTCGGGGCTTTTCGGAGAGAGAGATGGCTCTTCACTCCTGGAAGTATGACCGGGACATGGCCGGCACAGTTCTCGCCGCGCACAACTTCTCTCCTCCGTGGAACTTCCCCACCATCGAGAAGGTGAGGTGCATCACGGGACATGGCGTCTTGACAAAATCCAGCAAGCGCCAGTTCCCATCCGACCTTGTGGAGAATTACGAGACGCAGCCTTGTGAGCTTGTGAGGCTGCGCAGGGCCGGAACCCTACAAAACAGCTGCGCAGCAAGCGGAGGACGCAGCAGAGCAGGAGGCCGGGCTACTGCTGCGGCAAGAGTTGGCTGATTTGGCTGTCATGCTAATGTAAGCGCATGCAACTTCCAACTTCCTTCCGGCTTGATGCTCTCTCTGTGCCAGAAGGCAAAGGAGACTGCGGCCAGAGAGGCCATGCAAGAGTTTGATGAGAAGGGAAATCCAACAGGTCCTCCAGGCTGGCCCTTTGGGATCCGGCCAGAAGACAAAGAAGTCTGGCCGCCTCACTGCACTGGCAGTTGAGCGCAATGCGAGCAGCTGCGAGCTTGGCGGGCGATATTACTGAGGACTCCAAAGGATGTTGAAGAGCTGAAGCGTCGCCTTCCAGCATACAACATCAAGGGGCCGTCGTCTTAGACTCGGCTCCAGCCGTTCGCGAGGTTCCCGGTCAGGTTATTGGTACAGTGCGGACAGTTGTTTGCCGTTAAGGCCAGGCGTTCGTGCGATTTGCCTCCTGGGCTGCAAAGACAGGACTTCTCTCTCTTTCTCTCGACTCAGGTCCTCCACCGGTGGCTTCTATCTCTCTCTCTCTCTCTCTTTCTCTTTCTCTTTCGCGCGCTTCGCGCCGGTCGCCTCAGGCTGGGGCCAGGGCGAGCTCGTCGGAGCGCGGCTCCGCCTCATCAAGCGCCAGCGTGGGGTGCACTCCGTCGAAGAGGAGAGAGCTCACTTGTGAAAAACCGCGAGAAGCCAGGAGAGTGCGCTGAGAGTGTTGGACATGCCCGCCGCAGGCTGCACAAATCTGCGATGATCTGGAGGGGTGCACACATTTTTCGATCAGGGCTGCTCCCCCTGATGGAATGCGGCCAGCTGGCAGAAAGACCGTTAACCTGGCAATGCACTCGAGGTTGGCCCCGACTTCCCAATGACTGAAGACATCGACTTGGACAAAGGCCAGTCGACATGCTTGGATTCAAGAGTTGGCATGCAACTCACCTGACGAGGCATTCCATATCGAGCTGAGTTCTGCAGGGGGCCGATGGTCACTACCGTCGACTTCCCGCGCACCCATTCCTTTGTCGGCATAAAGAAGTATGCCGCCAGGCACCCGAACGATCCCAGCGGCTCAGAAGCGTGATGAAGCGTCACGTCGCAGGGAAGGTGACCTACCTCCTCCCGAAAACAATGAGCCACCCATCCCTCTCGTTGATGGGCCTTTGGAAGCCTTCGGCAGAGATCAAGGCCGGAGTTGCAAGGGCTTAAGCTTCCGCCTTCGTTCCACCTGTCGACTTCTCTAAGGATACTTTGCAGCCTACCGGAGCCGCCTGAAAAGAATAGAAGCCGCTAAGCTGAAACGGCAATCATTGCTTGCAGAACGTTGCAGACACTGTGCATGTCAGCGACCTTTGGTTTCGGTGCAGCAGTGTGTTGGCCAGGAGCGAGAGAGACTTGACCGCTTGAAGAGTGCGACCCACCAGTTGGAAATGATCAAGAAGGAGCAGACAGCGAAGGCCAGAGGGACACCTGTAGGACTATTCGCACGTCGCCGGCTGGACCTTGAGCCATCTCGCCCTCTGGAGGATGTTCGAGCCAAGCTGAAGTCGATGCAGAGCTTCATGCCGCTGCTGTTCGTCCCGAGCAAGCAGGCCGTTGGATGCAGCCTTATCACGGACAGCGCACGCATCCTTATATAAGGGTGATTGTGACAGTTTATGCTGCCATCTCGGGTCCAAATTTCGGCAGGCTGCTGAGTCTAAGCCAGGTCGCTCAGAACGCCCGCGATCAACACACACACACACACGAGAGCACGCATGAAGAGCTGTCGGGAAGTTTCCGTCCCTCAAAGCTTCTAGCGAGGCACGTGAATGCACGGCATCTAGAAACAAAGCCCGCTCGCACTCGCAGAGAGCCTCCGCGCATACTTCGCAGCTTTCATGCTATACCTTAATTTGCTTCTCGCATGATTGAAATGCGGACGTGAGCTTTCAGGGTACTGGGCTCCAAACGTGCTCGGAAGAGAACCCGTGGCGATGCATGCAACTGCTTCGTGTCTGCGGGAGCTCTAATTGCACGTAGGCATGCCGATTCTCATTGCCTTTTGTCGTGAATCATGACCTCGACACATGCCTCAGGCCCGTTCAAAGGCTTGCCAAAAGCTGCGATCGGTCCAGATCAGAGCGTTTCTCTAGAGACTTGCAGAGGCCGCAGCGGCCAACCTGTCATTGGCAGCCAAAGATGCTGGAGCCAAGAAGAGTCTCACCCGAAATGCGGTACAAGCAAAAGGCTCTGAAGCTGCAAAAAGATTCGCAAACCTAATCGTGATTGCATGCACTCAGATGTCGGCAAGAAACGCAAAGCACACATGATCGTTGCTTTAAGGAGTGGGTCTTCGAGCAGCGCAGATCGCTTGGGAATTCATCCCGACTGATTGCAAGTGAAGGCCTCAGCAGCAGAAGACGCAGATGAAGGGCTTGTGGTGTTGTCCGGGCAGCCACGAGCAAGTCACGACTGTCTCGAATTACGGCCGCTGTCTACCATGAGCGACCGCCTTGCACATGGAGAGGTATGGAGGGCAGCATGGTCACTGACAACACGGGCTTCTCTTTTGGAAAGCTGGCCAGCAGCTGAGCTGAGCCAGAGAGGATGCTAGCTTTATCCAAGGCTTGTCAGAGCTTTACGCCAGCGCTTTGCAACTGAGGCCCATGACACGGAGCAACTTGAGTACATCATCTCCATAGGTGAAGCTACCCTTGCGAAACAGGTAGGTGGTCCCGAGTCCCGAGTGCCAGGTCGTGAGGAGCTCCATGAGGCGTGCTAGAAGCGGCATCTTGCAGAGACGCCTTGTCTATCCTTGTCTGCTATCGAGGCCGCCTCTGGCTTCCGAAGTCTGCTTGAGCTCTTTGTCCAGTGTATGCCCTAGACTCTATGCCGCTTTCTTCATCCCACCGCTGCCTCTTGCATCCACAGGCTCCAGAAAGGAGCACCTGTGCGCGAGGAGGTTGCAGCGCAATTTGCGAAGGCCGGATGTCGTTCCCCCTTCGAGTTTCTCAAAGTACGCTTTATCCTTGGCGCTTCACGGTACAAGGTGCGACCTTTCTTCAACAGAGCGCTGCATCTGCCGGACTCCGTCGCTTTGAGCGAATCTTTCGCATGCTTCAGATGCTTCTAAACGCTTCTGCGTTCGTGTGTTCACAGTGCGCTCTCCCTGTTTCCAGGACCTCGACCAATCTGTCGGTGAGGTTACCGAGTTTTTGCCCGCCGCCGCTGACTGGGAAGGCGGGGATCCAGCTTGCAGACGTGGATCCAAAAGTAACAATGTCCCGCTTACGACTGCTATCGTGTTCCAAAGACGATGGCAAAATGCACGAGCAGACACCAGGCGGTGTCTGGCGAGCCTGAACACATGCCTTTGGGCACAGAACCCTCCATGACGAGAACCAAGGATAGTTTGCTCCCGCGAGAAACTAGGTTGCGATGGGTTCTGTGCAAGAACGGACATCCACGAGAAGTGTGGATGCAACGACGGCTACGTTCGTGTAATTTTGGCCGAGGGCTAGCCAGGCTTGTCGGCAAGCAACGAAGTTTGGCGGAGAAGCCGGGACAGGGTTGGATCCGGCAAGAACCTCCGAAGCAGCACAGGACGCGCCAAGCTCGAAACGTGAGTTCTGTGCAGTTCAGAGTTCACAATTTTTTGATTTCTGCACAAGCGTACGTTGAAGTTTCGCCAAAGCTTGATACCGAGCGCATGAGAGCACAATTTGCAGAGGTGCGTCGCTGGACGTGCGCACAAGAGGCCGCTCTGAGGAAAAGAGAGCATGATTTGGCCTTGGGTTTTGCGGGAAAATCACGAACCTGTGCATGACTGACTGGTAGGTGTGGCAATTATCCGGGGTGCTCTGACAGCTTCAGCTCAGAAACTGGTCTGCTACTCAGTCAAAAACTTCATTGAGTGTAGCCTCGTGCAGTCGACGAGGTTGTCGGTAGAGTTTCAGGTTCGCAGATGGCTGCTTGAGTCAACCGTGTGGTACCAGTCTCTGCAAAATGGTGACATTCAAAAGTCCCAGCTCCGTGATGGGCTCCACGGTCCGGTTGGCTTTCGTTTGGTTCATGAAATTCAAGCGAGATTGCCCAATTTGCTGGGCAAGCTGCCACTTTTGGACATCACAAGCTACAGGCACGGCCAGCAGAGTTCCGGACTTCCGTGGCACTGCTTGGACGGCATTGTAGTGGCCATGTTCTGGTTTGGCAGCATCTCGGACAGTGCGCTTGAAGTTTCGGGGAGGAACTCGTCAATGAGCTTTTGCAATGGCAATCGCGTGGGACCTGCGCCTGCCCTTCAACTGGAGGGTTTCACTCGGGAGCAAGCGCCGACTCCTGCTAGGTCCTTGGCTTGCCCAGAGGGCTGCTTGCTGCTGTGGCAGGCAGCTCATGCAATACGCACTATCCACAGGGCCAAAGTGGACACCTTTGCAAGCCGGCCAGTCGAGCTGCTACTGCTCTTCGGGAATTATGCGGATGCTGGAGCCAAGGCGGCTGGCTTCATGCCAAGTTTCGAGGGAAAAGCAGACTCGTGGGGAGAACACTATTATGCACGTGACCATGATCATCGATGAGGCGGTTGAGCTGGAAATGTGACGGCATTTGCTCTTTCCGCGGTTCTCCGTCCATCTGCCATGCTGGCATGCGCTGAAGTATTCTGCATTGGCAATGTGAGCCGCCGCCCATTGGCCCATTGCGCCTGGCCGATGCCACAGGACAACAGCTTGTGTCCAACGACTGGGATTGCCGCTCCAAGGAACCAGGACCGGCCGCGTCCTGCCTCGTGGAGCTCGCACCTTGAACGTTTCAGGCCGGGTGGGTGTCGATGCCTGGCTCGAGCTCGAAGGAGTGCTTCTTCCGCTGTCACCATCTGGGCCCAGAGACGGAAGATCATGAGCTGCTATCACGGCCGGGCGTATGGAGACCCAAGCCTTTCACGAAAGAATTGAGATGAGAAAGGTAGACTTGTTCAGGCCGAGTGCGCTTCGCTGAGGCAACAAGTCCTCTCCGGCACTGTTCCTCACGACACGAAAGAGCAGACACAAACTGATTCGAACTGATTGCTTTTGAATTTGACCCTAGCCAGATTCATCCCCACCCCCATTGCCTTCCCAACAGTTTCATACAAATCCTGGGGACCCTCGGAGCCTGCAACGCTCCTGACAACAGATTCTTCTGCCAGAACACGCTCCTATCCGATCATGTCCGAACCGAACCCTCGCGAGGGTGCATCGTTGCCAGTGTTGCAAGCCATTAGGCTGAGGTCACCGAGCAAGACCCTTGTCCAGACTTCTGCGCTTCACATTGCATTGACAGTAGCCGGGTGCGCATGATGCAGCATGAACATCACAGAGTAAGAATGATGTCCGGCAGTTGTTCTGCAACCGCCACGTGCAAACCATCCAGCTAAGTAGCACAAGTTGGTGGAATAGGTTCAAGCCCACAAGGGCGCGTGCTCCATGTGCAATTGATGGTGTCATGGCGCTCGTGTCCAAGCTTGAGTGGACGGAGCATTGTATGTGTGGTGTAAGTAGGCAGTTTGAGCAGATTCAGAGCGAACTCCCAAGGCACCTGGAGGTAGCACTTCACGATGGGATTGTTACCTCATCTTTGTCGCAAGGCGCGCATGGAGTGCCCTTCTGACTGTGCTTTGCACGAGCTGTCAAGCAATCCTTTTAGGAGCTAGCAGTGCATGTGTGTATATATATGTGTGTGTGTGTTTATGATTATTATTGTTGTTATTATTATCATTATTATTGTTACTATTATATATATATGTACATATATAGGTACATATGTATGTATGTATGTATGTATGTATGTATGTATGTGTGTATCTATATATATATATGCCATGGGCCACGTGCACTGTGCTTTGCAGACTTTTGGTTTTCTGTTGACTCACGATACAAGCCCCAACCTTCACACGCAGGCTCCCGTAGCCGAGTAGACAGAAGACCCCTCCTGGCGGACAGCGTTGCCGCCTCGGACTTTGTGAGCATGGCAGGCTTCACACTTCCTGTGGTATCATCACTTTTCAGTCCTCGGCACTAAGGCTGCAAATGCTGCTGACGGTAGCCAGCTGGCTTTCCCGACTGGTTATCATGTCTAGAATGACACCACTCGCCAAGCTGATCTGTAACAGGCCTCCGGCTACTTTAGGCTGTCGCGGTGCTTGGCATGCAGCCTCACAGCCATCGGCACGGCCCGGCGCTGGCGAGAGCCGCAGACTCTGCCCGCATCGGGCTCTCTGTGAGGCCGCAGTGCGGCGGCGCCGCGGAGACCGAGAGACGAGCGCGGTCATCTCCCGGCCTCGGAGGCGAAACCGCAGAAACCGTTTTGTCCTGTCACTTCTCAGAATCCTTCCAGGCCACGGCGAGACGGGCGAGAATCTCGAGAAGGCCGGTGCACGGACCTGCGCCTCCAAGTTGGTGGGCGAGTCGCGTCGGTCAGGAGCTTTCCGCGGCGGAAGGGCGTCCGAACGCCGGAAGTCCGAAACCGCCATGGAGTGGGGCGGCGTGAAGGTAACGGGAGCCGCAGCCGAGCAATCCCGGCATGGTTTCTGTTTCCATCCTGAGCGGTTCTCTTGTCTCCGTCAGAGAGAGCGAGAGAGTAGCCATGTTGGCTCAAGCCGTCACCAGACGTCCCACTCACAGGACACACTGCAAGGGCACATGCTGCAAGTTACCTGCTGGCAGCTGAAAGACTCCAACATGCAGTGGGGGATACCGACAACGGTAGCCATTTCGCCGATGACCCCCTGTCACTGGCTCTGCCTTGTCACGCAAGCTCCTGACCTCGAGCAGCACGAAGCCGGGGCCATGTTGTTCCAGGAGGGGGACAAATTCCTCTTCGAAAATACGGATGAACATGGCTGGATGCTTCGGGTGGAGTACCTCAACACAGCAAGCACTTCGCAACAAGTGCAAAGACAGGTCCCGAGCCCGTGAAAGCTGCCAGACCACCCAGCAGGCAGGAGCAACACACAACACACCGACAGGACCCGCAAAAAGCTCCCAGCCATATCGGAAGAGCCCCCACAACAGGAGAAACCAAGATACGAGACGGAAGGTGACGTGGACGACGACCCCAAGCGTCACACCCCCCCGCCACCCAACCAACCTTAGGGAAGGGCGCACATTACGACGGGCACAGTCCGACAGACTGCCAGCTGAGACACAGCCCCCCCAGCACATGCCACCCCCTCGCAGCGCTCCTCTGGGACGGGCGTAATATCCGTGGGACCACAGCAACCAACCGAGGCAGAGGTAGTCAGCATGACAACGCTACCACAGACACCACAACCGGAGTTGGGACCACACCCATGACCACTTCAGCCACCGGATTGGGGAGTACCACCACCTCGCGCCCGGCCATGCTCTACGGAGACTGGAGATGAGGCAACAAGCCACCGCAACAACTCTCCCAGCCCACCGCAGCACATTCGTCAGCTGAACTCACAGCACTGCAAGCAACAGCGCCGATGCAAGGAGTCGGCAGCAGCAGCAACAGCAGCCGCGGGGGAACGGCATTGATTCTGCCTGGGGTCTCCAACAGTCCCTCACAAGGGGACCCTCCCAGACTTCGATCCTGGCAACCAGTGGAGCAGAATGTGATGGAAATCAGGCGTTTGGCCCACACGCCAACAGCTGAAACAGGGAAACGGCGGAGGAACTTGATAGAACCGACGATTGCCCCGCACAGGCCCAGCCGCCTGCCGATCCCATGGGCCCCGCAGGTTGTCGCACTGGCCCGGGGCATCTCACCGCAAGAATCCGGCCGTCAGCTGTGCCACTCCGCTGTAGCCCCTCATGTGGCAGACCTCCTGCGATGGTTAGAGACGCTCACCCCGGAGGACGTGAGCCTCCATCTGCAACTGTCGCCGATCGAAGTTCTCAATTCGATGGGACCGCGGGACATGCGGCCTGGGGGCGTCTTGTTGCAGTTGCTGCTGCGCTGGAAGTCCTGTTGGTGAGTGATGTCTTGGACATGCCGCTGACAAGCGGCCCGCGACGACCTTACCCCGGGGCAGGAAGCAGCGATGAACCTCGTGCGGGGGTTCCCCAGACTTATCCCTGAGGAACAGCGAGGGCTGCCTGGCGAGTTCCTCCTGCTGGAAACGACCAATGGTGGCGTGCAGACCGACATCATGTTCTCGGGCACGTGCGACGGGGCAGAAGTACCGCCACGAGGGCGGGGGGGGATCAGAAGACCTCGTAGCCCTACTTCGGAGAACGAGGACGACTTTGACGAAAGCCACACGCGGCGACGCATGTCGGCTGAGCACATTCATGAACACGGCCTGTGATGCCTGCTGGGGGACCACCTCGGCGCCTACTACACTTTTCGCCGCAATCTGCACTGAGGCGTGAGTCAGCATCTGGTCGAACGGCTAGGGGAACTGATCCATTGTTTTGGCTTATCTGTTGCTGAACAGGGTGTTTTTTGGTAGACACTGTTCGACTAGATTTTTGAGGTTCGGAGGTCCTAGGGGGCCATCCGCCCTCTAAGGTCACTGTATTTGCTATTGTTTATCGCTTGAGTCCTCATAGCCGGGGGACGTGTACTCCAGTGCCCAAGACGAACCTTTCATGGCCAGACATGGTTGCCGTGTGACCGCGCGCTGCACCTTCGATTTACACGCGCACGGGGGACCGTCAGCTGTGGTTTGGTTATCGTCGGTTTTGCTTTGGGTTTGCTGGTTGAGATGGTCCCTGGCCGGAGCCTCAGTTTTGCAGAGCGTCCAAGACAGTCGGTCCCAACAACTCCTATTGTAGCACAGACACTCGTTTGTTGTGGTGCACCTCCCTATGAAAGGGGACTTTGAGCTGTCGACGGTCCTTTGTAGCAGAGAGCCCCTTGAGGGGACATGCAGTATTCTTTTGTTGTGTTGCATACACTGTTTTGCAGAAAACACCCCTCAGGGAGGACATGCTTCACACAAAGCCACGAATAGTTTTTCGGACGAGCCACCCCGACTCCGTGATCTAGCTTTAGCAGTGCGGCTATCTCGTTCCTGCTTTTTTCGACATCGTCAGAGTGAGCTTGTCCGTGACAGACGTTCGTACAACAGTCTCAACAGTAGGGGATCTGGCCTTTTCCTTGGCTTAGTTGTGTTGGGTACGTTTGGTCACGTCCGTGGCAACTGAGACTCGTGCGGTACTTGCATAGGTAGGTGTCCCAACGATGCATGTCAGTCTTCTCGCACCGCCGGGGGATCGCCCACCAAACATCCTTACTCTTACCATCTGAAGCCGTTAAGGTGCAACCTAGGTTCGTGGGGGACAAACCGCGGGGGGGCCCTTGTGGCCAGGCGGTTTCGAACACCCCCTGCGCCCTGTGGAAGAGGAGACTGCCCGTCACGCGTCAGGTGGCTTCAGTCACAGATGGAGCTGGGAGGTGGGACGTGCGGGACCAAGTTCACGGTAAAGTGAAGATCAGTGCAGCAGACTGACAGATTGGACCCCAGGTTTGAGCCATCACCCATTCAGGAAGAGGCTATGTCGCGCATCTATGATGGCGAGCTGGAAACCAAGTCGTTCTGTGGCAGCGATCTGGGTTCCGTAGTGTCCTCCTCTGCTGAACCCTGGTCTGAATTTGTCAGTTGGATTCGTTTCCGCCTTAAGCGGGAAGGCTGGAAGCATCGGATGCGACAGCACAACGGGCTACGAGTATGTTGACAAAACAGGCATAGGGCAAAGGCAGGCGGGTGTTCCAAACAGGTTGCAATGAGCGACTGCTCTGCCAAGCAGAGCATGTTTGTCCACGCATTTCACAAGCATGGCTCACAGCATCAAAAGTTGGTTGGACGTCTGTATTCTCGTTGCCGCGTGGAATCCTTGCTTGAGCAGCACTGTCGTGGTTGCACCCCGGCGGGCCCCCCCTTCCCCCCTACTGGTATCACCCCCTTTGTGGAACGACTGCCAGCGTTTGTCAAGTGAGCCGTACTCGCATGTTCGTATGCATTCGTGCATGCATGCTTGATTCGATAGGTTTGGTTTTTCTTGGCCGCACCGGGTTCCCTAAGGGCTTCCTGGACTTGGATGTTGGGGAGCCCTCAAGCTGAAATTTCCAAACCAATAAAGCAAGCTTCGTCTGCATGGAAACAGCTTCGCTCGCTTTGAGCCCTGTTTGTTGTGCCTTGAGCTTGCGTGTGGAATGGTTGGGTGGTTTGGTTCGGGCCTCTTCCAATGGTTCTGCGTGAGATCATCCCCCTCAGTTGTGTGGACCGGCTTGGGTCTTGAGCTTCCGAGTTTAGTTTTCCAGGCCTTGGTATTTAGGGGGGCAAGGAGTTGGATGCAGCATGATGCAGCTGTTCTGCTCTATTCGTGATTCGAGGCAGATCTGCATAAGCACCCAAAGGCAAACCAAAGCACCCAAGGTCTTGCTGCATCCACGCTCCCACTGGAACTGGCAAGACACTCTGCTACCTGCTTCCCCTGTTGCAGCGATTCACGGAAGAGGCCATGACGCGGCGGGCACGAGAGAAGGAGTGTGCCACGGCATCTTTGCCTTCAGGCTGCGCGAGCACCCGCTCGAGGCCTTCGCTTCCTCATTTTGGTTCCGACGGCGGTGTCTTGGCAGGTTAGTTCAGCTTCCTGGCGACACATGATCCATGGAAAGATGAGCTGTGCATGATAGCGTGAAGCCTCTTGCATGATCCAATTTCTTCTCCTGCCACAGTATGCAACCGGAGTCAACCAAGCTGAGGTCCTTCAGGTGCAAACAGTCGCACAAACCCCAGTTTCGGGTAGCAAGCTCAGGCGCTGCTTCCGAATCTCTCAAGTGTTCTGCTTAGGCTCTTGCCCGTGCGCTTCTTGGACCTGGCAAAGCGGAAAATGCCAAACGCTCAGGAAGGGTTCTGAAGGCACCACAAAGCGCTACTGGGTCCAAGAGTTTAGTCTAGGTCGCATCGACCCAGTGTGCAAGAGGGGATTCCACTAAAAAGCAATGATGCCACGTATGTGTGTCTCGAACGCACTTGTGGAATTGAGGGTCTGCATAGGTAATGGCTGGTTTTGATTCGTTTTGATATGTCGTAATGCCACTTGTGTTTCGAGTTGGTCCTTGCGAAATCCAGCGACATGGGGAATGGCTGGTTTTTTTGTGCCTTGATACCAGTACCACTTGTGTTTCGAACGGGTGCTTGTGGAATCGAGTGCCTTCATGGGGAATGACGGGTTTTGATATGTTGTGATGCCGCGGATGTGTGTCTCGAACTCGACTTTCGACGGCATGAGGCGACTTAGGGCCAGCACCAAAACTAGAATACATGTGCGATAACTGGAGGTCGCGCGGTGCTCGTGTGGGCGTCGCATAGGCCTAAGTACTAGCCCACAAGTTAGAACCCGAAGGTCACTGCAAAATACACAAGCTGAGACGATATATGTATTGACAGCAGCTCGGCAGGAGCTGCCAGCTCCACATGCCCTCATTTCGTTGTATGTGTTGAAACCCACATCCGGGCCATGTGCACATGGGGTTTCGATGTTGCTGATGTGATGAATCGAGGTGATGTGACTGCCAAATAGGCACGAATGCCTGCGGCACGCGGCCATTTCGTTCATTTCGTTACATGTCTTGGAACCCACATGTAGACTATGTGCAGCTGGGGCTTTTGCTATTTCTGATGTGAGTCAACTCGGATCGGGGCGTGACAAGGGGGATGTTGTGACTAAACGCTCACTGATGGGACATAAACCCCACTGCTCGTATGGGGTCTCTACGGGTTTTGGATGCCGACCAGGACTCATGCTGTTGATGTCCAACTTCTTCTCAATGAGTCGAAGGGCAGTCGTTGATGCCCAACAGCAAGTATTGCTGAGTCATGTTTCCACGCTTAATGCTATAGGCAGAACCTTTTTGAACGTGCTGAAGCAGAAGCATGAATGCAGGGGACACGAAATCCAACCCTTCAAAGGCCAAGTTTCTGTCTGCTTTTGAGAATCTCTTGGGAGTGCTTAAGACGTGACTGAAAAATGGGGAGGTCAACATGAGCACTGCACTGAAGGTGACCCTCATGCGACGTGATGCAGACAACACATCAGAGCCCAGCAACATCGAGCCCTGGATGCAAGAAGTTCCACCTCCTTGCAGCGTCGGGAATAGAATTTCAGCTGTCGGACATCAGGTCGTGGCCACGCCACGTCACATTCGAGACTTGTTGGACGAGCCCATGTCGCAGTCTCGGAGTCACGGCCCCCCGGCCACGGCCCCAAGCGGCTGCTTTTCTGAGACCTTTCAGGACGCAGCCTTTGTGGCTGCGCGCCTTAGGCCAGCTCGACTGGGTCGCCACTGGCCCAGCTCGGGAGCTGCTGCCACCCACACCGATCGGACCTACCGCCTTGGACCAGGTCGTAGACGAGGCCGATCAGCTTGTGGACAAGTGGCATCGGTCCGGAGCTGGGGACGTCTCCCAAATGCGCACAGTAAGCCGATCCATGGCAGCCATAGCAATCCGGCCAAGGGTACAACGCAAGAAAGCAAGCCGGGAGGGCCGAGCCACGAGCTTTGTGGGCTTTGCTTCAAAGCCTAGAGGCAGCTCCCTTCGCAGCCTTCTGCTTGAGCTGAGGTCCTCCCCGCAGTAGCTCTGTTGAAAGAGATCGAGTTGCAGACCACCAAGGCCCGAATGGCCCGAGTCTTGAGAACCCGAAGAGCTGCCGGTCCAAACATGTCCAAGGCCGGTCGTCGCGACGAGTGGCAGCTCGTTGGTGCAACTGCGTCACCCTCAAAACTTGTGACAGACAGCACTCGGCCTGGCGCAGATCGCAAGGGTTCTACAAAGTGCGCTCCGCATCACCATCTTTGTCATCATCTCAATGGTCGCTTCCCTCTCCCGGAAACCCTTTTGAGCTCCCACCGGGAAGGCGCACGGGGGCTCAGGCTCAGTCCATCGTACAGCACGTTCCCTTCATAAGAAGCCGAACACGAAGAAAGAGTTGATTTTCTGCCTGGCTAATGGGAAGACTTCGCCCCGATACATCCCGATCTCCAAACCCGGCCACCAAGGTCACCAGAGCCAAGCATGTCACACTGGACGTTTGCAAGGCTTGGAGGGCAAGGCAAGGCAAGGCAAGGGTATGACGAAGCCAAAGCACATTACATGTCGTGCTGGTTAACATCCTCGTCCAAGTTGAACAATCGTATGGAGCCCTGTTCTTCCCCATCGGCAAACTGCTCCATCCATGTTCATGCGACCTGATTTATCCGAATATTCCGAACAGGGCCCTCATCATGTACATGGCACGAGTGTGTCGTTCCGGCACATTCGTTTCACCACATCCTTTGGCTGGTTGTCAGCGCATGCGTCTGCAATGAGTCTGAGGCCACCCTCAACCGCAGAACGTTCCGCAACGTCAAGTACAGTTGGGAGCTCGGTCACGACCTGCGGTGCTGTGTCGCATCTCATCGCATTGCATCAAATTGCCCCTCTGTCACGGTATGGCCAGCTGAGGTGCTGGCATCGACCTGGCACTGATCCGCGCTCCTGGAAGCACAATCCCAGAGGACGGCTGAGCAGATACAATGCGCAGCGGCGTGTACTGAAAGTGCAGGCTGAAGCGCAGGAAACTGGTGGACAGTCTTGCTCACAGATTCACATCTTCTCAGCAATGTAGAGAATGTGGAGAGTGCCGTGGAGGTATGGGGATGGCACAACCGGCTGGCCAGATAAGCTACGTCAGGTTCTCATCGAGTCACCAGACTGGCCTCCATGCAGAAAAGCTCTCTGAAAGCTCAGGTCATCGAGTACGAGTTCCCATTCCGTTTCGCTTTCCCAAGGTGCGACACCACTGTCTTTCTGTAAAGCTGAAGCGCATCGCTGCGAACATCGAGGAGCTGCACAGCATTCGCATCGGATCTCGAGACTAGAAAGCAACTACAGTAGCCATAGTGTGGAGGACTTGATGTTGTTCCTTGTGTTTTTTTTCTGGTCACTTTTTGTGTCGAAGAAGCCACGACGACCCACCACATGAAATGCCATGGTTCACACCGACCCAAGTACGAATATGCCTTCATGCGGAGGAAGGGACACCCACCGTTCTTATGGTAAACGCGGCAAGACGACGATGATGATGATGATGATGCTGGTACGGATGTTGACAATTACTTATACTGATGCTGACCTTGATTCATGACGATGTGGGCGTGTGGTCGCGATGTTTTACACTTGAGCAGCCCGTGCAGAGATTCGATGGCACAGCTACTTGCGAATGTGTTGCAGTGTCAGGTGATGTCAGTAGCTGCCAAGACCATCTACGAGCTGGAGGCAAAACGGGTGCTAGTGGTCTGGGGCTTGTCCGTAGAGCAAGTGCTGCAACACAGCCGAGCTGACAGATGCTGACAGTACACACGACTTGAGGTCCTTGCTACGACCGGGCGAGGAGGCCGAGCTCCGTCGAGCGGCTCGCTGGCACATGGGCACGAGGCTTTCCTCGCGACGTTTCCTTGATTGAGAACTCAGATGACCCAGGTGTGTACGGCCGCAGCTTGGTCTTGAGTCAGGGTCTTGGCGGTTTGTCTTTCGCTTCAGCAAAAGACCGCACACCAGCACGAGGCCAGCTGCGCTTTCGGCTAGAGGACCTTGACGACGCGAGCGAGCAAGGCAGACTGGACGACGGGAGGCCACCGGGCATACCGGGCCGGCGCACGGCAAGCCATTCGTAATTCGCTCTACTACACAGACAAGATGCATACTTGTGTCGTTTGGCCGTGGCTGCGAGACCATGTGCTGTGCACTACCCAAACTGTTCGTCCCGTTTTACTTGGTCTTTTTCAGTGTCATGCTCACTGTATGGCATTGCAGGCGCGCCGAAGTTCCTTTTTACTGACCAGTTCTCCTGGAACCCCAATGACTTCGCGGAATGAGTTTCCCACGTGCAGGTTTTTTCAGGTCATTAGCATCTCCGAAGCGATTGAGGCAGCAGCTAAGCTGTGGTCCAGCGAAGGACACTGTAATGCCAGGCGGTCGGTGAGGCTTTCGTTTCGCGCTTGTCAGAGACAGGAAGTCGACAGAGGGTGCGAGACGAAAGGCATTGCCAGGTCATCGTGGCCGCAGCCCAGGACAGGAAAGATTTTTGCACAATCTGCCTTTTTGCTCCCTTGCTGCACAGGAGATTCGGGGTATGCATTTGGACTTTATCGACGCCGTCGTGTTGATTGGCGACCCAAACAGCACGGTGCCCAGTATCTCAAGAGTTGAGTCTTGCATCTTCACTTTCGAGTGCCTCAGACATCAGCGACTACATGCATGCTGCCGGCCGCACCTGTCGCTACCAGCCAGGGCCCAAGCTGTTTGTCGTCAAAGCATGAAGGTCATGGCTGCTTTGTGGTAGCACGTGCGGGGTTCCTACGCCTGGTGTGGCCAGACTCATCAGACACCCTCGAGCTAGGCATGAGGCTGAGAGATCCTCTTGCCAGCTCGACCAGCGCGGTTGCGAGAAGCAGCCGCACATGCCAACTGTAAGCGAAGCCTGAGAAGCTTCATCGCCAACTCGGCATACAGCCCAAACACGTCGCTTGCTATGGCTTCGCACTATGTCGTGGCTTCACCTCGCCAACTTCAGCGATGTTCAACGTCCCTTGCTTCCTTTCTCGGCCAAGCAGGAGCTGTTTCCTTGAGTGCTCCTCAACTGGACTTTCTCCATCCTCGCTCCGCTTTTTTCCTATCTTGTTCCCGCCACCTAACCGCTTCTTCCTCTCCTCAGTTCAGGTAGTGCAGTGATCAACTGGCCCAAGCCAGATGGCCAGTAGTGGCATTCAGCGTTTGACTGCTCGAGTTAAGCATGAGAAGGATCCGCCCGCCACCTGCACGTGCATCGAGGCCCGGATCAGCGGAGCCCTTGGAGGGCACGGTGGTGTCCATCGTCGAGGACTCTGTCGCCAACAAGATGATGTCCGAACGCCGAGATCTCCTTGAGTCTCACTTCAAGGCAGCAGAAGTTCGCAGACCACACACTAAGGAAATGGTCCAACTTGTCCGGTTTCAAGCTGGTCGAGGCATGCACGGTTGCTCGCTGCTTCCCAAAGCAGAGCGACTATCGTTGCGAACTGACGATCTTGCTGTTTCGCTGTAAAGGTTCCGATGAAGCGGAATGTCAAGACTGGGGAGCCAGCGGAGAGGCTGCGCCATGTCGGCAGCTCCACTTTTCGATGCAGCTTGTATCCAGGCTGCTCACGAAGCGGCAGAAGCAGGCTGCCGCTGAGATTGGCGAGGCTCTGAAGGCACCTTAGAATGTCTAGCTGTGGGATCATCGAAAACAATGAAAGCAGGATAAGCGCAGGTAGTGCATCATTTGTAACGATAACGATGGTATCGCATGTTGAAATGCTTCTAAAGCCCAAGCCAGGAAGCGTGCACCACTCGGTGGTTTAGTGAGGGGAAAAGATGCTGGCTTCAGACCACCAGCCATGCTGGTAATTGCAAGGACCCACGAAAGAAGCCACTTCTTCCCCAGAACGATTCTTCCCCAAAACGATGCGGTACTGTAACGTACACATCGTACACACTCTGAGCTTCTAACATTAGCTGGACGTGCCTCACGCCGGGGGGGGGGGTCGCGGTGCTCAGTTTGCGGTCACTTCCATGTGTTTACACAAGATCTGCTGGGCAGCGTCTCCCGAGAGCCAGGATCACTGTAAATCCTTGGTCACTTGTTGTACTTGAAGACTCTGCATCCCGCCAGTACTTGTGGGAAGGAATTTTGCCTGTCTTCCTGAATCCACAAGTACAGGTGGAAGCAGTTTGGCCCTGCTCCCGAATCCCGCCTACTTGTGGGAAGCAGTTTGACAGTGTGTCCCTGGTTTTGTCCCATTTTCTAGTGATCTTTTGATGGTCCTGGTGGTCCTATCTGTCAGTGTTTGGGAGTTGTACTAGTTACTAGCGGCTTCCTCAAAATGGCCGTCAGCCTACTGGCTGCCCTCTCCTTTGATCCCTGCAAGCTGGCATGATTAGAGATTGCCCGTATAGTTTTAATGCAAAGACATTTTTTAGATTGTACCGAGCGGCTTTGCAAGCCTTCTTTGGCTTGAAGCGGGGCCACCCATAGGATCTCGACGACGACTTCCCAGAATCGTACGAGTACGACGAGCCAGAGTTGTACGAGTACGACGAGCCAGAGTTCAGGGAGGTGCTCAGCCCCTTTGCAGCGACTGCAGCAACGTGCAACTCTCTTGGAGGCGGAGCATGAGCCAGCCCTGTCTCCTCCATCAGTCGAGCTCTTTGTTGTGTCGGACGATGTGACGGAAAGCAATTTGCATTCGCCCTCTGGCTCTGAGGTCTGGAGCTGATCGAGTCGCTGCATTTTGTACCCGCAAACATGTGAGCTGGGTTTCGCCACCGTGCATGGGGAGTAAAGGAAAAGTCCGCGGCTGGAGCCTGGTTGCACGGCCTGGGATTGAATTTCAGAAGTATGCAAGTCTTTGCGCGGCTTCCTTCGAGGTGCTCGGGCACGATTTCGCGCTGAGTGTAGACCTGCCGGTTAGCATAGTTGTGGCATCTTCTGGCATAATCATACAAATTACCGTTTCCGAGTACAATGACATGTGAAGCCGATAATGGGCAGTGTTCGAGACTGTTTGGTTTGCAGTAATCAGCCCATAATGAGTATGAACCTTCATGCAAGGCTGCCCATGGATGTGAAGCCATTTGCGTCAGTGACAGCCGCCGTTCCTGCACATTGCAGAGGGAGATTCCGTGCAGCACGACCATTTCTGGGAGAAGCCAAAGCTGGACACGGTCTGTACCGTGGTTCATCATTTGTTGTGGTCCTGTCTCTGGTGAAATTGGTGAACAACCGGCGGACATCTTGCAGAGCTACCCGCGACATCAATGGCATGTCTGATCTCGTCGAGCGAGGCTACGACGGGTTTCTGCTGCGCGGATAAACCTGGATCCACTTGTGTTGTGCTTTCTTGCTTTCACTTGTGACGGCATCCCTGGCACCTGAGGCTGGACCAGTACGGAGTACTTCGGCTTTATGTGGCTGACGCCCGCGCCAGTCCGTAGTCTTGCACTGCTGCTAGTTGAAGCAGCCCTGCATCTTGCGTTTGTTTGTTTATACTGGTGCTGAGGTTCTCCATGACGGAAGGGAGCTGCTCCCGGATGTCAAAGAATGCTTGGACCAGCTTCAACGACGAAGCATTCCCATGGCGATCGTATCGAACTCGCCCTGCGAATCTGCCAGGGCCGCCTTGCGCTTGGAGCGCATTGGCTTGATGAACGAATACTTTCAGAGCCTGGTGACAAGCGGTGACCAAGCCAAACGGTACCTGGAAAAGCTGATCAGCGAGGCTGCGCCAGTGAGGTTGAGCTGTCTTTTCATCTCGCACGCAGATCACGTGGAGCGTGGCACGTGGTCACCGGAAGAGCTGCGTTCAATGGGCCTTGAACTTGTCGCAAGTGTCGACGAATGCGATTTTGTTTTGGCAAACGGCGTGCAGGTGTGCTACAAGGGAACACTGTCGGAAGTTGAATCAGACTACGAATCCGACGCGAGTGACTGGAGTGTTTTTGGGACGGTACTGCAAGCGGCAGCGAAAGCACAGCGACCCTTAATAATTGCAAACCCTGACTGCGTTGTGCACCGAAATAATGGTGTTACTGTGAACTGTCCTGGACAGTTTGCTAAAAAATATTCCGCTTTAGGCGGTGAGCATTTGTACATTTTTGGTAAGCCCAACCCAGAGATATTCAGAGAAGCCTCGAGGCACCTGGAGCTCTCTGGAGCCCGGCGAATTTGTCACATAGGAGACTCACTGTGTCATGATGTGAGTGGTGCAGCCGATGCTGGCTTTGCTTCTGCCTTAGTCAGCAGCGGAATTCATGCTCCTGAATTGCAGAGCATGTCGCTTAGTGACTTATGCCGCCGAAAGGGTGTGCCTTATCCAACCTTCGCGATGTCTTCTTTCCGTTGGTAAGCCCCGCTGCCAGACGAGCTGAACTCGAAAACCATCGGAAGCCTTGGCGAGCGACTTTGCAGACGAGGGGAGTGTGCTGGCTTTCGATTCCGATCAGACTTGAAATTGGGGCATTCAGTGCTCGAGTTTGGTGTGATCTGCAGCAAAACATTCCCAAAGTTATACTTATATGCTTGCAGATGCACGCGAACAGAGCAAAGCAGCAGCTTTGCAGAAAGCGATAAAGAAATTAGATAAAGAATCATCCGACGTTGCACGTCACACAACTATGGGACAAGAGATCACAAGATTCGGCCTGGGGCTCATGAGGGACTGTGTGTTTTCCAGCCTGTGCCTATGAAACTGGCTACTGCATGTCTCCCGCAAGAGTGTTTTTGCGCCCCTTCTGCCGAGGCGATGAGTGTAACTGCTTTGCCGGACCTCAGTCACAAGTGATGTCCAAGCAGCATCACAGGGATTTCGTTTGGGATTTGATGTTTTCCGCTCAAGGTGGGCTCAGAGCCAGATCGAGAGCCTGCCCAGACTCCGAGGACAGTTGCGACCTCGGCCAGCTCTGACCAGAAAAAAGCAATGGGGCAGAGGAGTGCCATTCGGAAGTAAACTGAGGTGGACCCCGTGGCGAATTTGGTCACCAAGGAGTTTCCGAAAACCGTTTTGACGCCGCCGCCTCCAACTTCCACCAAGTCGCATCAGGCTCGGGCAGACTGCCTTTGATTTCGCATGACATGGTCACTGACAGCATGATAGAGCGCACGGGTGTTTGTTGGCATCAGCATCAGCTTGGCAAGTGGGGCTTCGAGCGCCTGAACATGTCATCGAAGCACGTCGTAGCATTGCGGCCCAAAAAAAACCGGTCGTAGTTAGGCAGACAGTCATGGAGAATTCTACCCGAGTGCCAGCAACCATTATGGTTGACGTGCGAGCTGGCGAGGAGACTCTGCAAGGTATTGAGGAGCAGCTCATGCAGATACAGAAGTCGGGCTTCCATGTGCCAATGATCTTCTTGTGCGTTGCAGGGTCATCCAATCCACAGGCTGTACAGTCCGTACAGGTTCCAGAGGTGATCGCCGAACGCTGGATCCGAGTGGTTCGCCTCATGTTGGAGCTGCAGCAGCCCATTTACGGCATGGCAACGGGCACCATGAGCCCTTTCGGCATCATGCTGCTTGAGGCATGCGATTGTGTCCTCGCCGACACTGTGCAGGAAGGAGTGCACGCAAACAGAATTCTCAAGCCGTTGGAGATGGCACTTGTCTGCAAGGTTGCAGCAGAAGAAGCGGAGTCTATGAACGATGCTCAGCTCGTGGAGCACAAAGCCAAGTTTGTGCGTGACAAGCTGTATGCCAGGTTCCCCAAGCTCTCAAAATCTGCTAAAAAGGCAGGCGACTTTGACATGCTTCCTGCATACATCATGACAGATATTACCCCAGCTGTGCCCGTTGGAACAGACTGATCAACATCTACAGCTTGGGTTGGAGATCTGGATGTGTTCTGACCTTCTGAAGCTTTGACATCGCTCAGGTAGTGTATCCATCTTTTCAAATCCTAGGCATGTCATGTGACAGTTTGCAAGCTCGGCTCACCTTGAACAGTCATGAAGCAGAGCTATCAACAATTCGCACGTGTGCGCATGCACGAGGCAATTGGCCGAGTCCGAGTAGCTCCGCTACCGAAAACCCTCGAGCCATTGCAGAGACAAAAGAAGCAGAGAGGTCTCCGAATGTTCTCCGACTCAGGGAGCCGACTGGATGCATGCGCTGCACTCTCCTGTTGAGGCCTACAATGTGAATCCATGGATGAGTGCTGAGGCCAGAAAGCAGACAGCATGTAGGCTGACGACCTGACTGCACTGCAGGAGGAGGAAGGCTTCTTCGTACCGCCGCCGCCACCGCCCGACCCGGAGCCGTACCAGGCAAGGACCACAAGACCAGCACAAGAAGACGAAAAGGGACGTAAGATGTTGATGTCGATTGTCTACTAACGTGCTTCATCATGGCTGCGTGCCTGCTTTTGTACCAGCCAACTACCGGCACACAGTTCCAAAACGGACGCACAACGACACATCGTGCCTTAAGACCTCCAGCCAACGAACATGCAGGCGTGCATGTAGGTGCAAAGACAAGAACGCCGCGGGCATGTTCACTGTCTTCGTGTGCTCGCTTGCTTACAGTCGGGGGATGTCGGTGGTTCAATATTTGCATGATCTGCGTACCTTCCATCCGGCCCCCTGATTCACGCACACGCGGACAAGCACGCAAAGCACAACAGAAACTTAAGGAACTTGTCCCTAAGATTCACACAGACCTCCTGTAGCTGACTTGTAGCCGAATTTCTTCCGGAGTTGCTGTTGTTTTTGCAAGCCTTCGACCGCAGAGCCTGCACCTTCACTCTGACAACCCCTCCTTTTGAAGCAAGCACTGGTACGACCGATGTTGTCTGTAGAGGATTTCATACTCGATGCAAGCACTAGTTGAAACATGGATATCATGGAGCAGGAATCAGGTGAGTAGTGTGCATCCCATTTCCATTCAGGCGCTCGTCTTTGCTGTGTCAATTATCGCGCTCCCTCCGCAAATTCGACTGTAAGATAATGCAGCTGTAAGTGGTTGGTGTGTCGCTATTTGCAGTCGCCGCAGTCTGCAGTTGTGCAGCCAAACATCTATCGATCACCGAAACGACATGTTGAACGACTGACAGAGTCCTCGCTCTCAGGCCTCCGAGGAACCGCCATCAGCCGAAAAGGCTCGGAACGTTTCACTTCGAGGGAATCGGAAGCTGTCAGAGTGGCAGGCTCCTGCTCCTGCTCCTCTACCTGCGCCGGAGACGGCGATCGCAAAGCCGAAGCCGGCCTCGTCGAAACCGAGCGCAGCAAGCCCACCCAGCCCTCCGGCTGCTCCTCCCCGGCCGGCAAGCGCCAAGCCGAAAGCGAGAGCCGAAGGCTCGTCCCAAGCCATTTTCTTGCAACCTGTGAGAATGCAGGCTTTAGGGGCTTTAGGCACTTTAGGGCTGTTGCAGGTGAGGCTTTCGCTTGTGCTCGCTTGAGTTTGGGCAGTTCCAGGCGCATCCGGCGCCATCAACTTCGAGGCACAGCGCATGCTGCTGCAACAGCCAACGAAAGCCGGAACTCGCAAATGGGCGCCCACCTTTCCCAAAAATGCGATCCTCAAGGCCATGCTGCTTGACTTGGAGGGTGCTGAAGAGGCCGTATGGGTCAGCAGATTTAGTTTCAAGCTTTGAATGGTCTACGTGCTGATTTAGGCAGCCTTCACTGCAGCTTTCCAGAGTCTGTCTGATGGTCGGACAGCGCTACAACCTGCTTCGAACTCAACTTTGTAGCCAGCATGTTGGATACTGCGCCGGAATCGCTAGCCTCAGGACCACGATCAGCTGAGAAGCTTCATCTTGGTGAACAGCGGTATCGGTGAACAAGACTTGGACACCGAGCTGCTGAAGATCGCATCTGCGAGGGAGGACTTTTGCATAGACATTCCGGGCTTCATTGCCCTGCTACAGCCTCGGTGCAAATGCTGTGCGTCTACTGCGAGACTCGATGTGTTTTCGTATATATGCGCGTACGCATGTCGTGCTAGCCCAGATTGCGGGAACATCCAGTGAGTGATTCTGACACATTGCGGCTCAGCGGCAGCCGCTCAAAGCCGCGTGCACATTGCAGAAAGTTTCGTGCCATGCTACAGTGCTACATCCAAGGACACTGTTCATGAACGTTTCCAATGATGGTGAGTCTATGACATCCGAGGAGTTTCTGCAGGTCTCATGTCGAGCACTCGCAGCCGCTAGCTTGACTTCGCAAGGACTGCCGGACATGCCTGCTGGCATTGGTGGCTAAGCTCCCAGATGCACATATCCGGGAGGCAGGCTGCACCAATATCTGCGCCGTTCTGTTGTTCCTCCGTGCTGCAGCATCAAGACATGCTGGCAAAGCTCTAACGTACACCTGCGGATATGAGCATGTGACATGTGTGTATATGCGTGTGCAACTGTAAACAGACACACGTTTAGCGAAGACATTCTGCGCTGATGATGCATATGTATGTGTTTGTGCGTCTATGCACGCGGTTTGCTTTCACTGAGCCGCTGAGACTCTTGCTAGATCATATGGTCCAGGACCGGATGGAGAAGATCTTCGATACGGTAATGACATCAGCAGACCTGTCTATATCCATGGAGCAATGGCTCGCTCCTCAGACCCGCCAGCAAAATGACAAAATGCTTAATGATGATGGGTCGCACTGCACGCTTGGCACGAGGATGGCCTTTGCAAAGACAACGGCGAGGATCATTCGATTGATGGCACATGCAAAGAAACGCTAGCAGCAGTAGCTGTTCAGAACTATGGTTGGATCACTAAAATTCCAAAAATGGCCGGGTAAAAAGTACCTGACAGTGTCTGCCTTTTGTGTTTACGAGCCCATGGACCTGCCAAAGAGCAGAGAAGACTTCAGCGCACGCCCGCTCAGAACAGACCATCTCTGCAAAACCTGCAGCATGCATGGCTGGCCACAGAATAGATCTGCAAGCTTCTGCGGTCTGAGGAGATCCACGGATCAGAAAAGACACCCACATGAGTCATGAGAGAATGTAAGACGCACATGCCACTCCCGGTGGCCGTACCTGCAGTCGGCTCAAGCATGTGAAGGGCTTCAGGTACACCAGGGCCATGGTGCCATCACCGCTCTCGAACGGCAGGATCCTCAGTCGAGCTGGAGCAGAGCTGGAGCAGAGAAGAGAAAACGGCTTTCTCTTCAGGGACCGTCTGAGGTTACCAAAAGGTGCCATTGCACGAGGAGTATTTTGTGCCAAGTGACGAGGCCACACCGCCTTGCAAGACAAAGAGTGCCACACTTGCAATAAGAGCCCCTTGTCAGCAATGAATCACCGAAGGCACTTGCACTGCCTCAACCGAGGAGATACCAGCTTGGCTCATGGCATCAGCGAGGAACTGTTGCGCATTGACAGCCCCGATGAAGTTGAAGTCATGTCGCCGTCTGATAGAGAGCTTCTTTCTTGCATTTGTCCAAGCGCTGTGTTCTCTTCAGTTCGATGCCACCGCGGGTGCCTGCGCTGAACCAGGTCAATTTTCTGTTTTGTGGAGTCCTGGTGGTTCCATCTGCTCGCGGCTTCGGTCATATGTTGCAATACGGTGAGCATTGTCCTGGAAGCAGACTCGGAGGACCACGTGGCGCATGAGTTTTCTGCATGGCTTCCGTAGGGCCTACAGCTTGACCACAGCCGGAGTCTGCGCAGGACTTGGTCAAGAAGCTGCACCTTGGCTGTTTCTTTCTTTATCCGCATGGCCTGGGTGTCCAGCGGAGTCCCCGAGGTACTGGCTAGACCAGGCAACTCTGCTCTTCTACGTCTTGGAGCTTCTCTGCCGAGTAGGCTTGTGGAAGCCGGGGTCTCGGACTCGTGGGTTCTCCGTCTTTGGGTCTTGCACCTGTTGACCTCGCAGATGCCGGCTTCTTTGTGGTCCCCGGCACCTGCTGCTGTGGAGCCTCCTAGATCTCATCGTGGTTGGAGCCGGTGTTCGGGACTTGGCTCGACAAGCTGTAGAGTGCTCAGCGTGAGCTTTCTCAGTCAGGTTCTGGACCAGTGGCTGGCACCCATTCTGCCAGCATCTGGTCTCAAGGGTTTAGCCAGTCGGTTCGTCGCACCAAAGCATCGACTCTGGCTCGCCGAGGTTGACACGGCCTCATGGTCCAATCTCCTCGGCGTCATCCGACTGCTGCGACTAACTCGCGTATTTAAGGTGGTTGGGTTTGTGTCCGGGCCTCGTCTTCCAGGGAAGACAGAGACACTGTTCTTTTGACTGCTCACCTTCACCAAGGCTGGAGTGGGATCTGTCCTGGACCGAACAACCCACCTTCCAGTCCTTCATTGGCAAGAGCCTTGGTGAAGCCGCTCATGTACTTCCAATGGGGCTTCAGAGTCTTTGCCGTTTTTGAGGCGGTGTGATAGCATTCAATGCTCTGCTGATGGGCTTCGAGACTGACTACGAGTGGGGCGGTTGGGCGGTCATTGAGAACTTTCTCCTTTGCACCCTGGCAGCGCCATCAGTCAGTTGGCTTCGAGGAAGTTATCACCGCTCATCCTTGCCTCAGGTTTCAGCAGAACCCGTAGGGGGGGGGGGGAGCAAGACGCCTTTGAAGCTCCAAGCTCTCCACTGCCTAATCAGCGAGTCCTGTCTCACCCTTCCCAACACCAACATCTTGCATCAAACTGTCCAACGGTTGCTCGCGATCTGGCACCAGATGAGCAGCAATTTTACCACATCTTAAACGAACGAAGATTCTTCACCCAAGCCGCAGGTACGGCTCTCCGATTCACAGACACAGAAAATCCACGAAGGAACACCATGTGCAAAGGAAGTGGCCCAAGAAGATGTCCTTCGAATGGTCAGTAGTTAGTCTTAGTGCTGAGTCCATACAGATACTTGTAGTTTCTTCTTCAAGCGTGCACACAAGAGGTGCACACGATCTGAAATTCAGGTTTCTTATGTTACCCCCTTCTGCATAATACCTTGCGCTATGCGACGCTGTTCTATGCAACATGCGCGGAAGGTATTTACGTCTTTGAGCTGGTTGTGCGAATGAAGCGGCTGGGTTGTGATTTCTTTTCCTGCGAGAGCCCAGATCTTGTGACTCGGTTGTATTAAGCTTCTGGAGTCTTCGTCGGCAGCACCCGGGAGCTGCATTCTGCTCACAGCTGAAAACTGCTGTGACGCTGTCTCACCCCAGATGTGGAATTTGCTGGACTTGGCGATCGTAGTCAGTTCAGCAGTGCCTCGGTCGCACGTGTGTAACTTTGCTTTCCCAAAACACTTTAAAACCCTAAGTAGGATTCACATCGGCTTCTTCCAAACTCCGCATGTATTCAAGTTGCGGACAAGTTTTTGAGCCCTAAAACCAGAATCAGAACTGATCTCAGGGCGATTCGTGGCTTGTGCCACTGGTCAATGTCGCAAGGCAGAGATGGCAGATGCTGCTGCGCACGTTGTACCATCGACTGCTGATGCGGGGCCCGGGGCACTGCGCAGGAAATCGTTCCAAGGAGATCAAAGTCGCCTCCTCAAGCCTTGCATCTGCTTCCACCGGTCTGGCGGTCGCGACCAAAGACATGAAGCAAGGCGAACGGCAGAGCAGCAAACGTGCACACGGCGTCAACGTCGGCCAGCTGATGATGCTGTCGGCTGCTCATTCCATGGGCTGCGAACAAGTCTGGCTTAGCGGGCACAGACCACATTGGAATGCCGTAGAGGCTGTAGCTGCACTGAGGATGCGGCTGCTGCGTTTGCTTCGAATTTTGCGATTGGCAAAGCCCCTTGACAGCAGGTCTCAGTTGCTTAGAACCAATGCCAGAGCGAATCCATAGTGAGCATTTCAGCAAATATCATGCAAGGTTAGTGAAATCTGTGCGGCCGCTGTACATTTTGGTGGTCAGTGTTGTGGCCCCAGCGCTGGGCTTGGCAAATCGGCTGTCGCTGGTTGATGGCTCTGTGAGGTCACAGCGGCAGTGCAAGGGGTCGTGTGGGTGCTGGTCCTCACGGTGGTCACCTCTCAGCACTGAGATGCTGTTTCGGCACATGTGCTTCGCTTAGCTTTGGGCGTGTCCTTCTACGCCTGGACTGAGGTAACACTGTATGCCATGGGTATACTGACGACGAGACTCATCGGTCACAAGATGATCTTTCCTGCAGACGACGCTGCTGGCTTGCAAAGTCCAAACAAAGCACCCAAGCCCTTGATGTTTTACCCCGTTGTTCCCACAAAGACTCGGTGTACACATTGCGTGGGGAAGAGAGCATGTCCATTTATGTGAATATGCACACCCCAGATTCACAGCAGAATAGTGGCGGCCGCACTCCTGAACCGTTTGGAATACAAAAGAGTGAGGCAGAACTCTAGCCGTTCTGGTAGCCGGCTCCACGGATGATAACAGAAGCACAGCTTCTGACTGCTTTTGCAGAGGATGCAGAGTCATTGAAAGAGTTGACGACGCCCTTCCGTACTGCGGGCCTCTCAGAGTCAGGATAAATCACTCTGTGCGAGTGGTCAGGATGAATGAGCACAGCTCGATCACTGGCACCAAGGTCCCAGACAGCATGTTCACCCTATTTCGAGTGATGAGTGGGGCACAATCTGATTCGGAGTCTGCTGCCCTGGACCGTGCCTTGGACTTGCGCCAGGGAGGCTGCTGAGACATTGATGTCGGGTTGGTCTCTTGCCCTTGCCTCGTTTCTCCAAGACATCATGGAAAGCATTCCGACCTTCAAGTTTGCCTTTGTCTTCTTCATGGTGACCAGCTCATGGACACTGCTCTCCATATTGACCGCAGTTGCCTCTCAGCGGCAAGGGACCAAACCGGGAGGCCCTTCACATCCCCCAGAAAACGTGCACCATCATCATGGTGACCCCATGATTGCAGCAATCCGCCTCTGCGTGTTGAGTTGTGCATAAGGTCAGCGAGAACATGATCTCCACGACCTCCAGTCAAGAGAAGGCCTGGCTGTGCTTCGACGTCTCCACTTGCCTCATCCAACAATGCATGATAATACATGCATACATACCCACACGCCGACCTGCACACCTACACATCCTACACACATTGACAGGTATACGTATGCACACATACAGACCGGCAGGCAGACAGGCAGCTGGACCGACAGAAATATACATATTATTTGTATATATATATAATGTAATATAACATAGTACAGTATAATATAATATAATATAATATCATATCATATAATATAATATAATATAATATAATATAATATAATATAATATAATATAATATAATATAATATGTATATATATATATATGTACATACACACACATATCTTTGTGTGTGTGCGTTTCAGTATATATGAGTCCTGGCCTGAAGGAGATCCAGCTCATGTCAGAAGAAGAAGACCGGAATCTCGCCGACACAAGTGCCCGTTTGCTTGATAGTTCTTTTGCGGCATTGCACAACAGGATCTGATCCGAGACAGTAGCTTCACGTTCGGCAAGCTCAGGAAGCGCCACATTCAGGACTTGAAGGAGCTCTTCAAGGAAATTAACACCAGAGGAGTCGGTCACCCAGATGTGGTGTGCAGCTTTCACGGAAACTCGTCGCTGCTGCCCAGGATGGAATTGTCCGCGAGAAGGACTTGATGCACTTCCTGTCCATCCCTGACAATGCTTACGAGATACTTGGATGCAGCCTCTGGCTTCAAGCTGCTACTGCCCAACATTAAATCACACAGTCGAGACTCATTTAGGCCCATTAATAAGGCTTCGTTCTACAAGTTGAGGTGGCGCAGGCAAGGATTTCCACGTGCTCTGCCCGTGCAAAACTAAGGACAGCCAAAATGTGTCGTGTTCCAGTTCGGCATGTGCAGGAGGCGCTGCCTGCACAATCTCTTTCAGACACAAGTTGACCACTACAGCAAGTCAAGAACACAAGGCAAGACAACTAGTGCTCGTTTTGCCAGCACAACCCACATGCCCACATCAGCAGGTCATGAAGACGCTTTCAATCAATCAGGAAGTTATTCACATGGACCCTGGGCCTGCCAAAACACGTGCATGCCAATCGTTTTGCGACACAGATGGCATAGTGTCTCGCACTGCCCATTCTAAGGAGGAATTTGTTGAGTGTTTGCTCGACGCCCGGGCCCTGGCCAAATCCATTTGCCCTGGCTTGTAGCACGCTTTGGGAAGCTGCTGCGGTTCAGAAGAGCTGCTAAGGTTGGAAATCCCGTAACAGAAAAGTCAACCATGAGGCGCTGCAGGGCGAGCGCTGTCTGAGTCAGAGTTTGCTTCTGCCCCGTGTTTGAGACTGGAAGTTCCGAAGAGGTTGGAAGCGCTTCACCTCGAAACCAGAACTCAAAGCCAGAGGCGAAGCCACCGCTGCAGAGCAGAACGGCCGCTTTGCTAGTGCTCCATCGCCGCGAGGCAATGGCAATCAATAGAAGAGGTGTTCCAGTCGCTGGTGAACAACAAGGAGTCCATGCATGCTCCCTTTTTGCCTGTTGAGACTACAAGAAGCCAGGAAGCTTGATCTCGCTTGCAGGATCGCCACAATGACAGCACGAATCCTACAATGGTTTTCCCTAAGGGCGTAACGGAGTCGTGTGACGAGCTCTGTGTCCGAAAAGGTGGCGGAGATCAGATCAGCAAGCTGATGCAGAGTTCCGTGCATCATGGCGAAGCAACTTTCCTTAATGCTGAGTGTGGCAGTGGCACGAGCAACGATCTGAGCCGCATCATGCGTGTTAAAATGCAACTGAGGCTATCGCACGCCTCCAGCATTCAGTGGAGGCAAAGATCGGATCTGATGACGAATGTGGTCAGAATCAACTGTCACCAGCAGGACCTGCACAGAAAAATGGATAACTTCACCGATCTGATCGGAAAATCCGCACCCTGGCTGCAAGCGGATGTGCATGTGCAGGCTCAAGGTCTGCAACGCGTGTGCTCGAGAAAGTCTCGTGGTTTGCACAGGCTGGCAGGGATTTAGGCTTGAGACGCATTCACTGAGCCAATGTGCTCGGTATGGCGACAAACACGTCCATTGCAGCCGTGTTGCTTAAGAAATGTGTTTATACACCCAGGCCAAACTCGGACGTGCTGGTTCGACTGCTTGTACCAAGCACCCTAACATCTAAGATGTTGGTGGTAGTTTCACCTACTGCTGCTACAAGTCTTTCAGACTGGCAGCCACCTAGCCGTATAGTTTTAGTATAGGTAGAGCGCACCTCTACCACGGGAGTGCCTGTGCCGGCGGCATTAGACTAGTTGCCACGATTGGCAGCCGTGCTTGTTGGCAAGAGGCTTCGCACTTTGCAGGGTAGGCTCGGTCTGTCCCCCCAGCGCCAGCCCGTCTTCTCAGTCACTCTGCATTCGACATGTCCTTGAGACGGGCCAAGCACACGGCGGTAAAATCAAGCTACAGCAGCAAGAAGAAGAAATTCCGAAGTTTGCATTTCGCAAGGGCTTGCGGATAGCAAAGAATGTTCTGTTCCACTTGCGACTCAGCGCCCTGCGGCCATCAGCCATGCTGGGAGCTTCAATAGCTGTCTTGGCTGTTCTGCTTCAGCCTTCCCAGACCTTACCACCACCACTGGCTGCCAAAAGCCACTTCCTTCGAGGGCAGCATTTGGAAAAGAGCGGTGACTTGCAAGGCAGCCAGCTGCGTTCCTGTCAGCATGAAGGAACGGACTAGCAAAGCACAGTGTGGTGCGTGACTTGCAGACTTTGAAACTTGCCAGCCTCTTCGGCAAAATTCCTCACCTTTGCCCTACCTTGCACAGTTACACATATATAGAGTGCACGCACTCTGGGAGATGCAGGTGCCTCCGACAGCTTTCAGAAAGCCATTGCCGCGCATCCGGACTATGCTGATGCCTTCCGTGCCCGTGGGAAGGTGCTGGAGAAGCTGTCAGACCTGGAGGGTGCGCGGCACCACTACCTGGAAGCAACCAGGCCGGGGGTTGGGGATGGTGGGGGTCCGAGCAGGGTCTCTTCTGCTCTTTGTGACGCGGAGGTTGGCCCCGGAGACTGCGGCCAATCACTTCAGCCTGGGCTTGGCATGCGAGCAGCTGGAAGACCTTGGCCAGGCAGTCAGCAGCTACCGCCGCGCGATCCAACTGGATCCAAAGATGTCGGCAGCTCATTACAGCCTGGGTATCGTCCTAGAACGTGCAGGGGAACTGGAATCTGCGATTCCAAGCTATCGAGAAGCTGTTCGTCTGAACCCCAGCCACCTCGCTTCAACGCTGAACCTCGGCGAGGCCTTACAGCGAAAAGGCGAGAGCGCTCAGGACCCGAAGAGCTTCCAGGAGGCCGAGGAGGTCTTTCGAGCAGCGTTGTCCTTGGATGCTGCGAAGCCGCACCTTCGCTTGGCCAACTTGTTGCAACAACGGCAGCGTTTCGAGGAAGCCGCCGACCATTTCCGAAGCGGACTTGCGATCACACCCAACAATGCTCCTGCGCAGTTCAGTCTGGGTTTGGTGGAGGAGGCACGTGGCAACTGGTCCGGTGCAAAAGCGGAATACTTGAAAGCTGTTCGCTTGGCTCCAGGACACCTTCCAGTTCGACGATACTTTGCCAAGTTTCTACGCAAGCATGCAGACTTCACTGAAGCTGCGGAAGGTCTGCAGAGTCTGCTTGAAATGGACCCTACGGACAAAGTCCTCCACATGGAGCTGGCTGAGATGATGGCACAAGATGGCAAGCTGTTGCAAGCAGAGATCGGCTACCGGAAGGCTTTGGCGCTGGATCCGGTCTTGGAATCTGCGCACACGAAGCTCGGAATCGTGCAGCGACAGCTTGGAAAGCTTGCCGATGCTAGGGGATCGCTGGAGACTGCATTGGCCTTGAACCCAGCAGATGCGGGTATATGCACTCAGCTGGGAGTTGTTCACAAGCTGAGTGGCGACCTCACAAGTGCTGCTGCAAGCTACCAACAAGCTATAGACTTGAACCCAGAACATGCTGCAGCTTACGGAAATCTGGGCATAGTTCAAATGCTGCAGCAAAGCTGGGAAGAGGCAGAGAGCAGCTTCTGGGCAGCTCTGAAATTGGATCCAGACTATGACGGAGCCTACTACAGCCTTAGCGGCGTCCTCAGTCTGAGAGGCAAAGTTGAAGAAGCAAAAGCCTTGGCGGCCCGTCGAGTTGAACTGGCTACGGCGAAGGGAATTTGGCCCTTCCGGCTGTCTATGACACAGCTGGACAGCAACAGACTCCTGCAGAGCAGGCTGCGGCAAGAAGAGGAATTTGCCTCAAGGTATGTTGCTGCAGCTCTGGACTTAAACCGCGAAGCAGATGAGAGCGTCATCAGAAGGCTGGCAAGTGCCGTGACGGAGAACCCACCAGATGGCTTGCACCAATTAATTCCCGTCCTTCGAGGAGTGGGCTACAAGTAGCACCCTGCATGCTGTGAATGGCTGTGATGGAGTTGAGGGTCAATTTTGGTCTTCGGACGTAGGCTTAAGATGATGACGGTAGCAGACATGCTGAGTCTTTCCATTGAACTGAAGGAGTGCGGAATTTGGAGAATTCGACAGAGTGGGCCTTGCGACGCTGGAATGAATGCCTTGAGCTTGGGTCCGGAAGTGTGGCCTGTGCTTATGGCACAACGTGGTTTGAGACTTGGCTGTCAATCATGGCTGACAGCACGTTGAGCCGTGCCATACCAGGCTACATAGCTTCCGGCCTACAATACACGGTGGGAGGAAGCGCAATTGGTTACCAATGCCTCTTTGCAGCTACAGCTTTGGGCTTCAACTGTACCGGATATGAGTTGTTGCAGTGTTTGGTAGCTGATTCGAAGAGCCTGGCGGGAGACCTTTCAAGAGCTGTGGAGTCCGTGGACGTCGGCTTCGTGTGCGGAGATGCTACGAAAGCAGACTTATCGACCACGGGAGTGCTCTGGCTAAATGATGCGCTGTGGCCACCAGAGGTGCGCGTGAACATGCTTCTCAGGGCGGCGTCTCGGTTGCAGTCATACTTTTTGTCTGGTCGATGCTACTTGACTCAGACACTGGATTTTACAGTGTCAGAAGCTGAGTGCAAGGTTTCATCAATGCCTCCAGGATCGACCGTCTGCGGCTTGGAGTCCTGAACTGCGGGAGATTTGAGGTCTCATGTGATGTTGCTCTTGCAACTTGGTTAAGGTCATTAGCTATCAGGCCAAGCCAGACGACCGACAGCAGCTTTCTAAGCTGCAAAACGAAAGAGTCATGACGGCCGCCGTATCTTGGAACCCTGCTCAACAGTTCTTCCTGTGGACGGTCGCATCCTGATGCTGCCAACACGAAAAGTATCAACGACCGGCTTCGAGGTGTTGGAGTCTGAGATCGAAAACGGCGATGACTCCAGGGCCCCTGGCACAGTGCCCATGGAGTGCCGGCCCGGGAGCAGTAGAGAAGCTCAGCGCTCAAGAACAAAGACGACTTCTCCGATTCCCCCGGCCCGCATCGCCCCGCCCCCTGAACGCGACGCAGCGGCAGCTTTGCCGAGGCCCCGCAAGCCCGCCGGTCGGTCCTGCCTCGAAAACTTGGCCCACGGATCTTAGAGCAACGCAGGCGGCTGCAAAATGAAGGAGTTTGTGGAATGCTTTGGTGTATGCCAGCAGCGCAATCACTCCACTGCCCTTATATCCTTTGGGCTTTCGCAGCTCAATGGCTCGAAGTCAGCACGTTCGCTGCCTGCTCGAGGCCAGGGGCAGCACAGCACAGCACTGTGATCTTACAGCGATAAGGATGCATTCGGCCAGCTGGAGCCATGCGTGGGAACTGCGACCAGCCAGGGCCCTACTTGATTACGATCACGTCCATGCTACGTTCTTCAAGCCTTTGGCGAGCTTTCTGCCGATTGGTGGCCAGCCAGGTGGTGAGGCTGGTGACGATGAGGATGCACAAATAGCTGCAGTTGTTGCCACTTGACCTGCCTGTCTGGAATATTTGTTTGATGCGGCTGCTGCGGAAAAAACCGCCTGCGGGACACCTTAGGCGAAGCTAGCTGAAGACAGCTTCCAGCTGGAGGCTGTCGCTTGGCTGCATTTGCACGACCGGATGCTACGGCATGTTGCGAGCGTCGTCGGATGAATCGTTGATGAGCTGAAGTCTCCAAGAGAAAATGCCCAACGAGGTGCACAAAAACCTTCGGGACAAGCAGCTGGACTCCAAGACTCTATGTGCTGCGGGGCTGGTTGCCCACATTGAGGCAGAGAAAAAGGCGGGCACCACCAAATTGCTTCCCAAATATTCGACCCAGCTTCGCGTATACAAGATGCAAGGCTGCATTCTGCATGAAGCCGGAATGTCTGAGGAAGACTCTCACGAGCTCCAGAAAGCAGGTTATCCATCCGAGCAGCCTGTTGTTCGGAGAGGCCTGCTACAGAAGTTGAATGGTTTTTTCAGGATTCAAGCAAAGACATGATAAGACGATGTTTCGGCCAGGGCCGGGTCAGGAGACCGGCGGCAAAATCAAAAGTGCGAGGCCTGTAAGGACCTGAGCGCAAGACGACTCGCATCGACTCGCAGTCGCACCGACATGATGCCAAGGCACCCCTCCAACTGATTCCAGAAGCGGCAGTTTTTCAAGGCAGTGTGTGTGTGTGTGTGCGTGTCAGTGCTTGGTCCTTGGAGCCTGCGTTTTCAGAGGCTGCCGAGTCGGACAAACCCATGACGTGAAGATCGAGATTCGCAACGTGTCTGCGCCTCCAGGCACCTTGGTTTAAGACTTCCTTGAAGCACTGCAGTGATCAGGTCGGGCAAGGCGTTGTGCCCACGAATCCCGGACCAAATCAGCTTCAGCTCTACAGCCCCGTGTGTTATCATGTGTCGTCGTGGTTCTTTGCATCTCAGACAAGGAGTGATGCCCTGCACCAACCGGGCATTCTCGAGCGACCCGATCCGATTTGATGCAGCTACTAGGCGACTGCCTGGAACAGCATCTGGAAACATCCCACCAGGTTTGTCTGCTTATCTGGTCGCTACCCGGCAGCAGCATGAAAGCACGAGATACAGCATAACTGTCTAAAGATGCGCAACATGTATTGATGTTCCACAAACATTCCGTGAAGAGCAGTCCAGATTGCAATCTACAAGACCTTTGTGAGGTAATACTTGCCTGGGACATACATGGAGGGGGCCCCCCAGTTGGAAAACATTGCAGTTTTCCTGGTAACGGTTCTGCACACCAACGGTCGTTGGGGACCCCTCACTGCGACTGACGCTGGGGGCATCGGCCGAGGAAGCCTGCCCAAACCCCAGAATCCATTCGCGTTGTCTCTTGATCTTCTGCGCCTTATTGTGTGCTTCCCGTTGGTATCCGCTCGTCTGCCGTGTCATATTGATTTTCTGAAGTGATTTTGAAGTATAGATGCATTTTCTGCGGATGTGCCTCATCTTTTGCAGTGCAGTGCCGTCTGTCTGAAGCTAGACTTAGAACGACAGCAACGAACATGTTCCATAGTGCCATAGTGTTTGGGAGCCGATGAAGTCTTCCGGGGCACTGTCTGGCGTATTTTGCAATTATCGTTAACCTTTGCCACAGCATAGTAAATCAATATAGTGTATATTACTGGTTCCCTACGTCTTGGGAATGAGGTGCACTTCGCAGCGAAGTCTTTGGATGATCAAGTCGATCAGCTTGTGCTCAGCACTGAAGCGGGGAATCTTTCTCTTCCCGTACAAGCGGTGGGAGTGCTGCCACCGTCGTTGAAGTAGGAGGGTGGACGACTCCGAGGAGGATTCAAGATCTGACCGACGCACAGACGCCGCTAGGTTCGCGCAGGGAGTTTGACTCGCAGCCCATGCCAAGCGCTGGATCGTAGATGTGCAGCCAAAGCCGCTGCATGCCCTATGTTGGCACTGCACGCACGATCCCAGAAGATCAAGGCCGGAGCAAAATCAAAAGGGTGGAGCTGCACTTTCGTATTTCAACCTGTATAGCTTCGATTGAACAGATTCTCAGAAGGCTCCCCGGCATGTTCCCCTTTCTCAAGCGTTGTCCAGAGGGTTGGGGGATTTCTGCCTGCGCCGCTTCTGAAACGGGTAATACACGCCTGCGGCAGGATTGGGCTCGATAAACACTTTTGGAGAATCACGCAACCTTGTCGGCCTTGGCCAACATCCACATGTTCACCACTTTTGCACGTGAAGCACATGTTTTCGGAGCCGGAGGCCTTCCCAGGATCCCTTCATGATCTGAACTATGCATCTAGGCACCTCGCATCGGCAGCACAAGCCGCAAGTACGGGCCTGAACTGTACGCATCCAGGCAATTGATCGGTACAGTCGTACAGAATAACCCGCACAAATTATTTGCCGTTGTCGTGCCGCTGGTTGCACCACGAGTCAAGGTTTTGAAAAGCCAGGATATGCAAAGCAGTAGGTGGGGCCTTGCCCTTGACAAACCCGCCCACCACCATGCTTAATAAGTTTTGCGCAGTGTACATGCAAAACTGTGCGATGACATATTCTCACAGTCGACAGTTTGGCGCTAGGCTCACTGGTTTGCACACAGCCCATCGAGGCCTCCTCACCACCAAAGTCAAGTCGCACATTAGGATAGTTGCAATGAGTCAAGGACATGACAACTGCTGAAGCTTGGAACGCTTATGTTGAGGTTTGGGGATGCCAGAGGTCACTAAACCCCAGAAATGTCCAGGGGACAACACACTCAATCACGTTCAGAGTCCTGTGTGCGTGTCAAGGTAAATTGGCTGTTCTCATCGCAGAAACAAGCCGGAAGCGCCTACAAGCCACCTTTCGCAAGAAGTTTTTTAACGGATATCCAACCATCGCTTGCGGACAACTCGAACGGTCATCGATGCAGAGGGGTTCAAGGAAAGCAACTGCTACCTAGTATGACACATGAGTCTTGGCTGCAGTGTGCCATATGCATGCCACATTATGCGGCTTGTTGTGCTTGCGCCACTGGTAGATCATGTCCACAGCGTGCATAATGCTGTCAAATCACCGAAGCCATGTTCGTCCCTTGCCCCTGCTCGTCACGACGGCAGCGCTTACTGCAGGCCGATTGCAGAGTTCATGACCTGCATCGTTCACGTTTAGCCGTATGTGTACATCCGACACAAAGCAAACAAGCGACAACTGACCGCACTCGAGGCTCGCAAGCAGTAGTTGCAATTCTCATGACTGCAGCAGCCCTGTACTAATACAAAGAGCCAATGTGCGAGCATCGCTCGCTTTTTTTGTATTTGGACTGTAGCAAGTCACTGGCTTAAGATTCGAATCCACGTGCAGGTCGGGGGTCCAAAGTGGCTGAACGGGTGTGCAGGGGCTTCCCCTCAACTGTCTTCCCCGAATATCCCCAGCTCCGAAAACCTGCCTTGATGCACCATCACAGCGTATCGAACAGTGGCCAAAGAATCGATGCGAACAGCAAACAACAAACCAATCTCGATGCCGACCCACAGTGCTCCCATTTGCGTCTCCAGGCTTTGCCTGGATTTTGCTTCTTTGGCGGAAGCGTTCGGCTGCTGCAGAAGAGAGAGAAATCGCTGCTCTCTTCCACCAGCTGCAAGATCTCAGTAAAGCCGTTTGCATGGTCGTTTCTGATGCGCGGTCCACCAGCTTCAGCCAGCGAAATCTAGCAAAGATTCTCGACAGAACGAAGAGTGATACTGTATAGAACTTCTAGGAACTTCTCATGGCTCAGATACGATCTGCTGCTCTTTGCGAGGTACTTGACTCAGCGTGGCCTTGAACCAAGCGGCCAACTTCTTCAGGATGCGAAGGTGCTTGTGAGCATTTTGAGGGATGACGCAGTTCAGAAGGCAAATTCAGGTGCGGAGCGGGGCCGCGCCTTTGCGCACGAGCTCAAAAAGTCTGCAGTCGACCCTCAGCGCTTGGCAAATCTCTTCCCGGACATCAAGGCCAGCTACGTTCAGCAGCCGCTTGACTACGGGAGGAACTCCAGATACGGAGATCAGTGGCGAATTTCCTGCTACCTGGTCGTAATGGAGAACTGGAAGCCGAAGATTCTGCCCCACGAGCCAATGCTTCGATGTCTCGGCTCCGTCATGTCCGAGTGCGTAAACATGTTTGAAGACTGGTATTGTCAGTTGAAAGGCTACAGACTTGGAAGTAAGAAGTTTGGAGTGATGAATGCCTTCGTGACTAGATATCGGGCAGTGCATGGAGAAGATGAGCTGCAAAAGCACATCGATGCTTGGCATCTTCTGACATGACTCAGACTCGATCGTGGAAGCTGCTAAAATCTAGACTGTTCCTGTGTGCCTCTCAGGTTTTGCTTGTTCCGTTTGACACCGGAAGGTCACGAGACCACAAGATCCGACAGCTGGAACACGACTGTTTGTATCTGTTTGGTACTGTTCGGTGCAACGATCTGCCAGTCCTTGCATTATCATGTCCTGTTAGTCAGCATCGGTCAGGATGGTGCCAATGTGGATGGCTCTGTAATCTTGGCTCTTCCTACAGATGAGCCTTTCCAAGGAGGTGCCCTGCATGTGTGGGATGGCAAGCCAAAGCAAGAGCTTGTCTACACCATGGACGCCGGCGACTGTATCTTCTTGGACACCAAGATCTGGCACCAAGCAAAGCCTATATCATGTGGTTCCAGATGGGCATTGGTCTTGTTCCTGCGACTGGAAAAGGCCCCGTCGCCATCACAGCCCGTCTGAAGACACATCCGTCGCCGCCGTCGAGAAACAGGGCGACGAATTGTATGGGTGGATGGGCGAGGTATCTAGAAGCAGACGGATGGTCATGTGGGTGCCTGTACTTTTTTATATAAATTGACCTGCCTTTGCTTCTTCTTATGTGCAATACGGCTACATCAGTTGACACGAGAGCCGGAACAGGAGAGTGTGCATACTAAGCAGATAAGATCCGACAACCACGCCAGCGAACAATTCAGCATGGCAACACGATTCGTTTCAAACAACCTGGGCATAGTAAGTGATCAGCACCACCTGATGTAGGGTACATGTCCGGGTGCCAGCTTGCTTCAAGTTCATGATTGGTGCGCGGCACAATCGCCAGCGCTGCCATGTAAGTTACGCACAGTCCTGAGAAAAGTCGTGCTTCGGCTCGAGCAAGAGAGCTTGGTGAAGTTTCAGGTGTCTTCCAGCTACACATCGAGGCGCCGGCAGGCCTGCACTGCGGGAACATGTTCGGTAGACGAGGATGTTTGCATGGAACAGATTCGCATTGCTTCTGCAGCGTTTGACGGACACTAGATAGCAGGTTGATGAGCGCGACGGGCATGCGGCATGTTGCAGCATGGAGTAAAGTGCGGGGTTCCATGGAATCCCCGAGAGTCCGTAGAGCAAACTCCAAGGAAACACAGGGCTTTCTTCGTGCCTCGAAGGCCGAAATGGCAGGAGTGAAACTGGAACTAGAGTACTAGAGAGTTCACTGAGAGTTCACTAAAGTCACTAAAGCACAGGCACAAGCACAGGCACAAGTTGTCGAAGTCTGGGTTTGGCTGGGCCCGGCCATGGCGCCGGCGACACCTTTGAAGCCTGCCCTGAAGCCTCAGTCTCGCAACAATCGAGCAGCTCAAATCGAGCTTGGGGCGCTGATATGTTCTTCCTTCATTTGGGCTTGCAGCTTTCAGGAATTAGCTCGGAGTTTTGCTGGCATGTGAGTCTGTGTTTGCACTCACCAGAGCAATCCAGAGCGCTCAATGCACCAAGGTGGACAGTGGATTTTGGCGCCTGCACTGCCTTACTTTGCCATGGCAAAGGGCTGCCACGCCTTTCACTACGCGATGATTTCGTCTGCTTACGCTGCAACCCAGATGCTGAGCTCACCGCTCTTGGGAGTGCTGTCAGATCGCCTTGGGCGTCGGCCGATTCTGCTAGGGGGCTTGGCTGCTACTTCAGTGGTGTGCCTCAGCCATTATGGAAAGCATCGACACGATCAACGATCGTTTCTCCAAGATGTCGTTTACTCTGCGTGTCGAGCCTGTATCTCTGTGCTTCTGCCGTTCATCTACCTGTTCACCTAAGCTTCTATCTGTGTCTTGACTATGCCTTGTTAAGATGTCTGTCTCTTCTTCCTACCTTTGAGACTATAAAATGCGAACCGTCTATCTTGCGGTCTCCTGTCCGCCTGCACACTTGAGCGAAATGGTGCTTCTTTGTGCTTTTGCAGGTGTTCGCGCTTTGATGCGTGTGTGTCGAGGATGGTTTGAAAAGGTGCATACACATGAGCATGTAGGCACATGAAGTGAGGACACTGGCAAATGCAGGCAAGCATAAATGTGTTTGAGTTGTTTCCCATATTAGCAAGTAGACTAGGGCTAGGGCTAGGGCTTAGAGCAGTTTGTGCTGTATTGCAAGATGACGGCACAGTCTGTTTGAGTTGCAGCCGCAGGTATCTGTTGATGGCCAACGCAAGCACGATCTTCCAACTCTTGCTGGCCAGAGGTGCTCTAGGTTTCGTGAGTGGGACAATGGCAGCCGAAGTTGCGTACATGGCGGACTTGACCTGGAAGTCCGACCGCGCCTACTGGGTGAATTTGCAAGCGAGACTACAGGCCGCTGGGTGTCTTCTGGGCCCGGCCATAGGTGGCATGGTGGAACCCTACGAGCGAAAAAGATTTGAGAGCCATTTCGAGTTCGAGCACCTGTGCTATGCCATCTCAGGGCTTTGCGTGCTCAACTTGATCATAGGCCTGGGATGTGCCGAAACGGCGAATAGGACACTGTCCAGACAGTGTGCTGTCGCGCTTCCGAGGTGTCAGATTCTTCACTTGTCCAAAGACTGTCAAGGCAAGGCAGCCGTTTCTTTTGCATGCGCATGCTCGATTCTTGGTTACATGCATGCGCAAGTAGCAATCAGCTGACATGATGCTTGAAGACGATACAGTATTCCTTGGCCGGCTTATGCCCACGAACATCAAGTTCCAGCTTGGTGCTCCAGTTGAAACATTGCGCCGTGCTCACGATTGGCCCGGCGCTGGTGACTTAAGAACCCGAAAAATGAGAACCTCGTCAGTTGCAAAACTCGCAAAACTCCTAAAGTTTGACACGAGTCGCGGGAGCACACGTCCTCGCTTGTCAACGCACATCCGATCCCATCCTTAGTTGGAGGACGCATTGTGCCGAGAAATGAAAGTGTCGATCTATTGTTGTATGGACCAGGCGGCACGGCCATCAGTGCAAACACCAGCTGATTCGCCTCGCCGCAAGATTTCTGTTGTCAGCAGGAGACTCAGTACAGTTCCGCGCCATGCTACCTTTCCTTCAGCGAGTACATGGATTGAGGTTCTAACTTTCTGCACGGGCCAACAAAGCTTCTCCTGCTGGCATGTTTCATTGCAACTCAGCTTACAACTAATGTTCGCGCTTTGCGAGGAAAGGGGGTGTTTTGTATATCAGGGCTGGAGCATGTTGGAGCCGAGGACGGCTTCTCCCTTGCAGCTTCCTCAGCTTGCGGCAGCCCTCCTAAGCTGCCTTTGACATGCTCTCACTGAGGCCGTCAGTGATGGTCCCGAGGCTTTTTTCCTGCATGACCAATATGGTTTTGCCCCGGAGCAGCAAGCACAGTTCATGATGACTTGTTCTGCATCCAGCCTGCTGTGGGGAAGCCTGGCACCCTACATGGGCAAGCTACTACCTGCGAAGCTGACTTGCGTTGTGTTTACCATCAGCACAGCTGGTGTCATGGCCACTCGGCAGCAGAAGAATTCAGAGAGTCGTTGAACAGCCGAGCCAGCACGGAACAGAAAGGTGCTGATGACATTGTCCCGAGTATGGTGGACTCCTTATCTTTATGCCGTTCTCTTTGGCTGCTTTGCCACCTTGGTGGAAGTGGCTAGCAAAGCGAGCCTTGTCAACACCCTTGTGCCGGAGAAGCAACAGGCGGGCCCAACATCCTCAGCGTCTATTGCGATACTGAGATTTGACAAATGGTGATCAGAACCTTGCAGAGTTAAGAGATCAAGAAATGAAATTTGGGGGCAATGGCTTTCACAACATTGCGACATTGTGAAACCTCATCCCCATGTAGCCTCTTCGCAGTGTCCAGTACGATCCAACTTTCACTCGAAAGAAGACCGTTGGACCATGGAAGACAGGGAAGAGAAGTCGTTCCGTGAGTCCACTGCTTCCATGTTTACATCGTCATAGGTTGCCGCGATCGTGCAAAACGCAGTGTACTTTAAAAGTCGTACGGTCAAGGGTATGCACGTTGAAGGCGGCCGTCTATGGAATGCAGCGGGGTCTCTTGAATCTCGGCTTTTCATTGGGACCGCTGGTGGGTGGCGGCACCTATGAGACATCTCGTGGACGCTTGTCTGAGTTGGATACTTCGTCAGACACCGGTGTAGCAGCCCAGTGCTACTTTTCCACGCATTCACATGTTAGCGTGCTGAGTGCTAAGTTCTGAAGCCTTTCTGAGGCCTGCCATACACCATCTCAGCCTGTTGCCTTTGCATCAGTGCTTTGATCTACCTCTCCCTGCCGTCGTCGCTGACCCCCGGAGGCGGACAGCTTCCATTGGCCAAGTAGCTGAAATCACTGAAATCACAGTTGTGGGACCTCGAAGATACTCCCTGCGATTCCCGTTACAGTGTCTTACCACATTGTTTGGGCAACAAAGAAAACAGAGGAAGCGAGCAGCACAAATCTCCGCCCGATGGGAAGGTTCCTTCAACTTCTTATATAGGCCTATAGGCTTTCCTGCAAACACTTCAGCCAGGAGTGCAGCGTTGACGAGTTTGCAATCTTGGGAAACACTGGAAAGCAATAGAGCCCGATCTTCGACAGGCTCCTCCATCTTTCTCATGAATATACTCCTGCACCCCTGTGCTTCTTTAAAATGATTGATCTTGACCATCGTCCACGGGGATCTCCGGCTTTAATATATGCACACGCCCGCTTTCACATCGGTATCTCAGCTTGTGCGAAGTGCCTCTCACGCTATCTCACGCTGTTGCCAACTGTGTGCGTATTTCTTGCAACCAAACTTGCCTACAGAAAAGGCTTCTATGATCGGTGTTTCTGAGAATGTTTGTGGCAGTCTGTGGGTACGGCAGCGGAAAGTCATCAGAAAACTCATCCACACAGCTTTAGTCTGGGCAGCTTCCAGAGACCATGAGTGAGTAGTGCTTGCAAGGCGAGCAGCGAGCAGGTGCGTTCGGGTGCATTCACTGTTACGAGTCGAACTCGCAGGTGATTCCTTGCTGGGCGATGACATTGAAGACACTGAAAGCAAGGAAGCGCTCGAGCATTTGAGCAATCAGGCCGCTGAACTTGCTTGGAAGCCCGGGGCTTGGACTGACTGCCGATATTTTTGCCAGGCTCCGCTTCCCGCAAAGAGGCATGACGTCGGCACGAAGAACCGCATGTCCAAGTAGTTCTTCTCTTTTGGTGTTGTCAGCTTTTCCACCGTGCAGTGCTGTCTTGGCAAGCTTTGTTCAGGTTTGGTGCCACCCTTGCGACGGAGAAAGCGAGAAGAGTTTACTTTGTTTGCCCAGACCTTTATGAAGCTTACAGGGAGCAAGCTGAACAGAAGAGGCGGCACTCCTTCACCGAAAGTGCCTTGCAGAAAGAGACGTGAGCTCCTTGTCGAAGGGGCAAATCGCAGAAGTCTCCCCTTCTTCCGCGAGTCCGAGGCGCTCTCCAGGCGGCGGGACGGTCAAACACCATTGGTCTCCGCCTCAGTGGCTCCCAAAAATCTCCCCACATGTGCCCACATGTGCCCACTGGCCGCTTCGCGAAGCCCGAGGCGAGGAATCTTTCTCGCTGCGAATGGACAGCGATCGCTTTCTGGCAACAGATGCTGATGCCAAAAGTGCGTCGAATCACAACCTGTACATAAGCGGAAGGTTTCAAACCTGATTGAATAAGCAGCTGCCTATCGCAGAAACGTTACTGAGCATACTGGGAACATGAAGAGCTAGTTTCCAGCCACCCAGGACTGTCTCACAGCCTCTCAATGTTGGGTTTTGTTAGTCAGTCTATATCTATGTAAGGTTGCCAGATGTGGGAGCACATTTCATGAACAAAGCGTTAAAGGTCGCATACACTCAAAATTCCCCATGTCTTCCAGCATGACAAGGAGCTGCATTGCCTTGGACACCAGCCGGCAAACACACAGCTCACCTCACGCAGCGAGCACCAACCCCAAAAGCAATGCACCGCAGCAGTGCCAAAGGACTCTCTGTGGTAGCTCAGTACGGGACATACATACCTATTCCGGAGCCCAGTTAATGCACTGGTATATGTAGCAGTAGCAAATCAATCCTCGCAGTCCGGCGGGGCAACTAGTCTCGGCTCGCCAAGAGCTCTCTAAGAAGATGGAAAGTTTCAGTCATCTTCATGCAAGCCGTTCTCCCTTGCGAGACAGTGAGACGTGTCTTGGCATACTTTCCATTCCGAAGCTCAGACGACGGCAAAAAATTGCGGCAGCACCGTTCCGACATGTCTTGACCGATCGGCAGAGCCTTGGAGCTGATACTCGCATGAGGCGTGGGCGACACGACGCCGGGGCCGCTCTTCCGTCGCATGCCTCCCACTGCTCGAAATGGGTTAAGCCGGTTAAGCCTAAAAGCGGAAGGAGTCTAATCTCTTTACTGTTTTAAGTCTCAACGGTGTCATCTCGAGGCGATCCCGAGTCCAATGCCCGAGACGTGCAGGCGCAAGCATTGCTCGACTCAGTCCCTCGAAGTTCTTCGGAAGGGAGACATCTCTTTCTTGGCTTTTTGCCAGGGCTCCGCTGCTAATTGTTGGCATGACTTCCTTGCCGTCGCGTCTGGAAGGCCCTTGTGCTTGCGACACTTCTCAGCTTGTTGGTGCTGCAAATGCTAATGCCATTTTCTGACATGCTTGACATTTCCACAGAGTGGCTCTAGTCTGCAACGATCTAAGCATAATTATGTCAAGAGCTTTACGATTCAGGGAGTCGTCTGTAAATCCAAGCGCCAGTGACAGTGAGTGTAGTTTCGACGGCTCTTTAGAGTTCACCGCCAGCTTGCGTCCTTCAGGAATTGGGCCAGCGCTGGAGTCTATAGCCAGCCAGCGCTTCACCCATCATCTTCGCCAGTGCGACACGGCATCTTCAAGTGATGTTGCGAGATCACATTGAGGTCTAGGCGACCGGATCGGCTCGTTCTGTCATTGCCGCGGCTGTCGGAACGCGAAGGCTCATGTCTGGCTGTGATAGCAAGAACCCAATAAGCAAGCCTATTGGCCTCGCATGCGAGGCCGCAAGTATGAGCTGCCGGATCATGTGACCTGCCTCATGGCAAAGCATCCATGGATGGAGGCCAAAGGGGCGCAACGAGCTCCGGGAGGCGAGAAGAGTCCTCCCCTCCAGGTCAACTGGTTGGAGGAGGATGCAGGACCTGGCACCAAATTACTCGGGGCAGCTGACTGGTTTCAACGATCGATTGGCAGGTCAAAGCCTCAGAGCCCTAGCAACGCTCGGTTCTTTCTGCTGGCAGTCACCTGCTGTCTTTCTGACAGACTCTGAGGGCAATCCCTGGCGATATGCTGATGTTGCTCGACGATGACCATGCTTACCTACCATCAGCACTAGGCATCATCAGGGCTAAAGTAGTTTAGAGAAACGGCTTCAGAGACACATCTGCGGAGTTGAAGCTGCCGCGGCTATATTGTCAGGCGAACTGTGCCAGATCCAGCAACATCTTGGATGTGATTACATCAGCTCTTTCTTCGCCTACTTCTTCCGTGAGCTGGCTCATACAGAGTACCCAAGCTGGGTGAGCTTCTCGTCTGTGTGTGTGTGCCGCAGGCGGGCTCATAGTGCCACAGGGCGCCGATATTGTGGCCTTGCAGCTGGATAGCACAACCTTGCGTTGCATTATTGATTTTCACAGGCTCGGATGTGCTTGGCTTCAGGTTCGTGCTGCTTGGTCGCGTAGATCGCCCCTGCGAAGGTGCTTCGTGAAAGGCGATGCAGCATGTTTCCTGGTAGATGATCTGTGGTGCCCTTCTCAGATTAGTATCGAAATGCTGATATGTGCCAATGCTGATGATATTGGGTATTGAATGACAAACAACTGCACGGAATGGCTTAGGACTGCCATGTTCTACTTTCTGAGCGGGAGGCAGGTGCGCTCCTTCCGCGACAGAGTCATCCAGAGGACGCGGGCTAGTGCCTCTCGCAAATCTACTAGAGAGGCTGTTCTTGAATGTCAGGTGTACTCTTGCATGACATGCAAAGTCACGCAGGGGCTTGGAAACCATCTATTCTCGAACGGACAATGCATCCGTGCGGGGCTGAGATGGCGGCCAGAGGCTGACACCTCGTTGCCTACATTTGAAGTGCTACGTGGGCTGATCACGGACACAGGTTGCGGCTTTGATGGATTTGGATGGCATGGACCTTAGAGAATGACACGAATCGACGTTGTCTAGGTTCAAGAGCAAGCCCCACCTTCCGGAGCCTTGATGACTGAAGTTCTGTGTGGCCCCTGAAGAATGCCCCTGCTGGTCCCTCACACCAGACGGTCGTTTGTGCACATGATGTCCATGAGCTGAGCTTCAGGCAGTGCGCGAAGAGATCGCGCGATGGTTTCAGCATTTGAGGGCAGCGATCTCAAGAGATAGCTGGGCTCTCAATAAGCGCTGCTTTGCATGCAAGAGCCCGCTCCGAAGGCTTGCTGCAGCGTCTTTTGGACGATGAGTCCCAGCTTTCCAGCCCGCGGCTTAGAGTCCAACCGGCAAGCTTCATGGGCGGAAAATACCATCCACAATGTGAATCACGCTGTTGATTTCGCTGCGGCAGCGCATGTCCCAGCGGCACACCGACAGACTTGGCTCAAGGTCGTGACGAGGTCCAGTGACTAGGTCGACTTAGGTATATAGGTTTGAGTTTGACTGAGCTGAAGCCATGGACTGGACGGCCCCTTGACCGAACCAAGTGCGTTATGCTCGTTTATCGGAGCACCAAAACCAGCTCTGAGCGGCTTTAAGATTAGAAGATGTGTTTCCAAGAGTTTGCAGATGTTTGCAGGCTGTCAGCGGCATGCTCGGTGCTGTTGGTGTTGCCATGGGTGCATTTGGTGCACACGGGCTGAAGAAGTACGTCACCGATCCTGATTTGCTGGAGTCATGGAAGACAGCTGCTTGGTATCAGCTGATTCATGCCGTTATGGTGGGTGTTGCTGCGGCTCTTCGCAGGGGCGGCTCTGCGCCGAAGCTGTTTACTGCCGGCTGCCTCTGTTTTAGTGGAAGTATCTACGGCTTGGTCCTGCTTCCGAAAGGTCATGGTTTGCGGAAACTTTTAGGACCCATCACGCCGATAGGGGGTCTCCTATTCATTGCGGGCTGGATGTCCATGGCACTGGGATCGAAGCATCAGGACATGTCCAACCCACGACGTGAATAACACAGCAAGATCCGCGAAAGCACTCGAAAAAGATTCGCCTGCACGAGGGCCTTTGCAATAAGTGTGTTGTCCCAGTGGTGCCTACAAGGTGTGCGCATTTGAGTCAGCAGACCGAGGCATTGCCGGCGAAGATGCAGTGCGGGACTTTTCGGGCTTATTCTGAGAGCGAGCACGCATCAGAAGAACTCTCCAACCTGCCGGAGGGCTGTGGGGAGATGTGGGGAGTGCCAAGGTTCAACGTCTCCACAAGCTGGCCGCAGCGGCTGGGACTGGAAGCGACAGCTTTGGTTTGTTAAGCACCAGTTGACTGTAAGATCCCCAAACAAGACCGTCCGTCGGTAGCCAGGCCCCCCAAGGAGCGCAGCTTTGCGAATGAAGGTCCATAAAATAATGTACCGAAATGCCTTTGTGAGCGATGGCGGACTGAGGAAGTGAGGCAGGCAGATCGACGTATTGTAGAGTTGGACCCCTGGTCTCGGATGCTGTTTCGCAGATGTAGACTTAGCATCCATGATGTCGTTCGAGGCTCAACAGGTGGCTGCTGCAAGCACAGTCGGGCACCATCCTCAGTATGCAGCTTGATGAGAATATGAGAATTTGCCATCACTGGTGGGCTGTGGAGTGGCAGGTGGGACATGCGAGTCCCAACTGCTGCGGCGAGCAACGGAGGACATGGGTAAGATCCGAAGCATTCTATTAGCGGCAAGCTGAGTTTGGTGTGTCACTGTCAATCATGCAGCGACAGATCTGGTGCCATTTGCTTCCATGCGAAACAACTGAAGCCGTGACACAAACGCACGCCTTGTACCTGCAGCGCACCATCCGGACTTTGTCCCAAAAGGGTGCCAAGGCTGCAAGCGTCACTGCATGAAGTCCACCAGCAGAAACAACAACTCTGCATGATACGCACCAATTTGTGTGAGCCACCACAGCTGGAGTTCCGCGCAGTGCACGAGGAGCTGGCTCAATTGATGCACTTGCGAACCACTCAGTGCTGGATGTCAACTACATGTTCTTCCGGCGCGTACTCTGCCTTGGCGTTTTGCGTCCAGGTACCTAATGCAGAAGCTGCCGGAGAAACCACCGTCGACAAGCGATGCCGACATTCTGGCAGAAGAAGTAAATGCTGCAGTGCCGGAGGAAAATCACGTGTCGTCACGAGCAGTGAAGGTGTGCCTAACTCCCGTTTGCTTTATTCTAGGCTTCGACTACGAGCTTGTGGTCGAAGTTTCTGTTCATCTCGTCGGTGCAAATTGCTCGAGATCTCAGCTTGCTATCTTGGCTCAGGCCAGGCATATAAGGTGTGTGTCTCTGCAGAAATCGAAGGGGTGTCCTTCGATTCCGCCACATGGCCAAACGAAAAATCGAGAATGCTGCACACCCAGTCCTTTTGTGGGTCCCACTTCAAGAGACAGTCTGTGGGGGTGTTTGTTGTCCAGGCTCCGAACCCTGACAGCGCCCAGACGATCCGTGGCCTGGCCCAGCCCCCGGCCCCCCCAGGTTTTGGGCAGCGGTGCTTTCAGCTCCGCGCCATTTTTCCCTAGGATCTGCCGACCTATGATGGCGCAGGGCTTCGAATCGGAATCCTGAGCGCGAGATGGAACTCAGTAGTCTGTGACGGAGCCTCAGAGCAGAGGAGAGGCCTTCCTCTTCGAAATCTCTCCCTTTCTATAAGGACAGCTTGGTGGCCGGGGCTGTCGAAGCCCTTACGTCTTGCAACGCTCGTAGCCAAGACATGCTTCATGGGCGGTGTACATGCGGCCATGTTGCTTGGAATCTTGCGTCTGCAAGCGATGCCCAAGTGAAGCTTCAGAGAGTTCAGACGAGGTCACTGACATCACCATCGAACATGTCGCCGGGCTCCGATGCTCCAACAGACAAATGTATTGCGAAAGCAGCGCACGGGACCACAGCCGAGGCCGGATCTTATGAAATTCCTCAGGCTGCCCAGGCCTTCGCTCTCCTTATCGCTACAGCACGGCTTGCGGCTTGCCCTTCGAGTAGCCGCTGCCGTGGATGCACATCGCAGGTACTTTTGGATTCTGGTCGGTTTGATGGAATAATCTGCAGCTTGGATGAATTTCGAGGGTGCCATCATTGAGTTGTGCTGCTTGTGCCACCCGTCCCAACCTGCCCGGTGGCGGAGTTGCATTCGGTTTACATTGAAGAGGACGACTTCTGCGGTGCAAACCCATTCACGCACCAAAGCCGAGGGGCTCGGACACAATTGCCACGACTCAGATCGTAGTCAGCAGCAGACTCTATCTTGATTTCCCTCACGGCCTAGGGCGTAATGATCACGACCGAGTATCCGACGGGTGTAGAGTGTGTTTTTCCTGCACCCCAGCGAGATGCTGTCAGCAGCAAGGCATCGGCTGCCTCATAAAGGGCGGCACGATGCATTTCGAGTACATCAGCGAGGTGCTCTTCAGGCTTCAAAGTGTGTCATGACAGCATGGTGAGTCGGCGTGGAGGCCGTTACTCAGGGCATCATGAGACTGAACCTGGACTACAAAGTCCCAGTTCCGCTTCCAGGGCATTCGTGCAGCATTCTCGGCGTGTTGGCTCAACACCACTTGAGGTTATTTACGGCATCCTAGGCTGCTTGAATGAGGAGCAGGCAGGAGTGGAACATTCACCAGTTTCCAGATGCAGTGTGTTCCATGGCTTTGCGCTCAAAGGCCAAGGAGAGAGCCGGAGTTAATGGAGCCGGGCACAACAGCGGAAAGGAGCTAAAGCAATACAAGTTTAGTCAGCCATCACAGAAATGCTGGTGGTCGACAGGATTGGGGAATCACTGTTGTGGAGTCGTGCCTTCTGACCAAGAAGTACAAAAAAGTGCTCGGCAGCTGAGTTAAATTTTCCACGAAGGACTTGATTGCGACCAACCTGTTTCACGAGGACGCTGCCGAAGAAAATTGAGTTGAGCTACAATTTATTTCTAGAACCCAATAGGTCAGGTGCCTCCAGAGGCAAAGTGCCGTTTGGTGGGTTAGATCGCCTCGCGCCCGAGAGACAAGGGGATGCAAGTTAACTCCGGCGAACCTCTGCTTAAAGTACGTAACATGGAATTGGACGAGCAATTTCTCAAACAGATCAAGCACTAGTGAAAGGCGGGATGCAAGATGATTCTAAGATGATGCAAGAGTTGCTTGAGTGACATCCTGTTCGGGAGGCGACGTAGCTTGATCGCGCCCCGCAGATGGAGGGATGGAAGCTTTCCTCGAGCCTCGAGTATCCCAAGAGCATGAAGAGCATGCGGGCCGTCGTAGCTCGATCTGGCCCTAACTGCGAAGCTCCGGGTTTGGAGACCTCCCGGGTCAACTGGGCCGCGGGCACTCGGCGCTTGGGTCACAAGTTGGCCGCCACGGCCTTGACGTCAAAGGAGCTGCTCGTGAGCGCAATGAGCAAAATCGGTGAGGGCCGCATTTGGCGAGGAGGCTTGCCACCACTTCCACCAGGCCTTCATGAGCGTCCCGAGGGCGTGGTCGGGGTTTCCAAAACGATCCAAAAATCAGGAATAAGATAAACACGTACATGTGCAGACCAAGGTGTGGTCGGTGGGTAAGCCTTAAGCTTTCATCATGTTGCTAGGTACCAGCTGTTCACCCTCTGAGGTTGAAGTGTCTCTGCCCTCTTCCGAATCTGAGCGTCTTGAGCGCTTGAGAGATTTGGGCAGAACGATGCAGGGTGGAAGTATACTGGTGCTCGGCCGAAGACGTTTGTATCCAGTGCGCCCGCAGCATCAGTCCATTGGCCAAGTTAGTGCTGCTTCTTGTGAAGCTGCTTTGGATGCACTGGCAAGCTCTATTTGTCAAGAACTGCTGGACGAAGGCTATGGCCTTGACAATAAAGGTGTTGCTGTGCCATTTCTCCACCGGCGCGGGACGCTGGGCGTGCCGAGCGATTTCGACGACGAGACGCCAGATCCAGACTACCTCAAGCGGCACAAGATCGAAGAGGGCGCCCTTCATAAGCTTGCGTTAGAGTGTGCAGTCAATATTTCGGTCAGCCCTGGCATGCAGCTGGTTTCCGAATGCGGCCTTGACCCAGTTCTCCACCAACCTACTTTCGTGGTGTGCATTGGAGGGGGACAGCTGCGTGTCCTCACTTTTGCTTTCGTAGCCGGTCCTGTAACCGGCGATCGTCCAGACAGGAAGCGGACACCGTTTGCCATTCGACTGGCAACTGATGACCTCGTGGCACTCAGTCGCACCAAAGCGACTGAAAAGATTTCCAAGCTTCGATATGCTGCACACGCTGTCGATCCGGCAGTGCAGACAAGCCTGGACATGATCGTAATGCTTGAGGAGGAGCTCTTTCATGCGAACGAGGCATGTCCTGGGGTTCCTCATGGAATCTTCGGGAGTACGTCACTGGGAAGGTTTTTGCTCCTCCTTATTGCATGAGTACGTTGGCGCTGATATGCTCGAATCGAGGCCGGTGATTGGGAAAAGCTGGCTGCCGTCGGCACGGCGGAGGCTGACGATGAGACGGAGGCTCGGGCATCCTTACGACTGACAGCTTCCAGTAGCAGGGAAATAGCACAGGCACCGTCGACAAGCTGTACTTCAAGCGAGAGCAAGGCGATCCCCACAGATCTTGCTGAAGGCTCCCCTACAGCCCTGGGCAATCGTGGGCAGCGGGTGCAAGTCTAAGATGATCTAAGAATCTAAGATGACACAGGCATCCATCGACTCAGGCAGATAGGGCAAGTGAAGGTGGAGGATTCCGGGTTTCCAAAGCCACTGCTTGCATGGAGCAGGGCATGGAATGGCGGAGATTGATCCGGACTCGAAATAGTTTCTAGTGATGTTCAAAGCTTTGGCAGAGAAGCTAAGCTCAGCCACTTTACTCTAAGACTCTAGCGTAGCCGAAGCTGATTCGCTGAGCACAGCCAGCACAGGTTTGCAAGTCTGTGTCCCAGAAGGCCACGAGGCCCAAGCCAAAAGCAAGGAATCTTGTCTCGAGCATCGAATCCCCAATTGGCGGATGATACCTTCAACAAACGAAAACTCGCCGCAAAAGCTACTGGAAGATCCAGAAGGACAATCAGCTCCAGAATGTACATGCCCGTAACTGGGCGTGGGCATAGTGCGAGGGTTGCAAGCCCCTCCCGACACGGTGCCTTCGGAGGGGGACTCGCCTCGGTCGGGCATAGCATGTCGCTGTTCCTTTGCCCAGACTGTTTGAAAGGCTACGCGGGAACATCTCCCACGCCAGCCGGAGCCTCGAGCATCATGTCCAGGCCAAGCGCCTTTTGAGATCTGAGCGGCTTTTCAACAGGCTCAGACTGAGTACCCGTCGATCCCGTCGCCTCCATCGCCTGGTACTCGGCACTGAAGTGCCAAGCCGACGCAAGCCCTGACGCAGAAAAAGGCCAAGCTCTCGTCGGTTCAGCTGGCTGCTACGCAGACTGGCACCCGGTGATCTCACAGCTTGTGGTTGTCTGAATCTTGCTGTCTTGTCTGCACCTTCCCTTGCTGAGGATTGTCAGCGAAGGAGGACCATGTGCTGGCCTCAATCAAACTTCGGATGAGTGCAAGACACAACCTCCACAAACGTCGATTGGGATGCTGCCACAACCCAGGCAGACAGCGCAAGCGGTGCTTTTGGAAGTGTGCCAGGTACAGACGGATTGTAACAGTATATGGCCTTGCTCAGGCTGAGGCCCTGAGGCCACCGGCAAAAAGTGATCATTGGCTTGGAGAACTGCACCCAAAGGGACTTCTCAAGCGGTTGATTCAGAACATGAACCACATTCTGCCGGGTGCCTCTCTGCTTTTAAAACAGCTCAAGGAAGCAGTTGCCGCCTCTCGCTTCGCTAGGCTTTGCTCTGGATAGTCGTTCAAGGCTTGCAAAGACGAGGCTCCTCCTGGAAACAGGAAGTGCTGCGGCCACCACGGGCATCTTACCAGTGCCGCTCAGCATCCAGTGGGCTCTGATCACTTGATGTGGGCCTGCTGGTTTCCACGGCTACCAGCGGCTACAATCTTGACATCCCCAAGCTGGGCCGTGCTTGGAAAGAGCTATTCTACTCAACTAGTGCAAGCGAGCATGACCCAGAGGAGGATGGAGGGGGCCTGCTTAGTACGCCGATCTATTGTACAGCTTGAGCAACCAGAGAGTCAAGAAGGACTCGGTGCGCAGCCCAAGGCTGAACACCACAAGTCTTTGCGGAAAGAAAACTATGTCAGAACAGCTGCGGTCAGTCAATGGATGTCAAGTACAAGTAGGAGCATGGCCCTACTTTTTTGCGCACTGCGTTGGGTTGGCTAACGAAGGACACCGCTGCACAACGAAGAAAGTCCTTTGAAGGAACTGCAAGAACCCAAGCCACCCTTGTACGAAGTATGGCATCAACCCCTTCAGAACAGCTCCTGGGTTTTCTCGAAGAGCATTTTCTCGGTGCAAAGGCTACCCGGCCAGCGTCATGCCGACAGGGCTCCCCGAGAGTGGACTTGTGTCCAGCCGCGTGAGAAGGTCCAGAGCTCCTCTGATCGCCTCGCTCGCAGTGCTCGCAGTGACGTTCTGGGCCTCTGAGAAACAGGACGCCGCTCAGGAAGCCTTTTTGGCTCAGCGGAGCCGCACACGGAGCGCCTTGTGCTCCGGCTATTCCGTCTCCGGCTCAGGGTGGTCATACTTGTCTGACAGGCGGCCCTCTTTCACAGCGGTGCAAGCGGGGAAGAAGGAATGGTTCGGGATCAACGATGTTCGCGTTGTGAAGCGCAATCCCGAGGACGTTGCTGCTTTTCACGAGAAGGAACGCACTCGCTGGCGCCATGTGTACAACGAGGAATACGTCGAGACTTCACAGGATTTCTATCCAGGTGATCGCGTTGAAATTATCGATGACGAGTCCGACTATGAAGGGCAGCAAGGCGTCGTGATTAATTTCGATTTCGATGATGGCTACATGTCCTGCCAGACCACCAATTCTCGATATCCGCTGACTGTGGTGCTCGACGAGCCGGCATAGGCACAAATCGAGAGACATCCGGGGGAAAAATAGCGAGTGGCTGTGCCGAGCTGGTTTTGGCCAAGTGCCACGCCTCCCCAACATTGCCCAACCACTGCAAGGTCTGCTGTATACCCGAGCTGAATTTTCAAGGTTTCTGTTTACCCGGGCTGGAGTTTCGGTTCGGCTTTGCATGACATCGCATGGATCCTGAAGCTGTCAACCTCGAGCCCTTGCCAAAGGCAAGCCCTGCTCCGTGCCTTAGATACGATGCCAATCTCCGAAGAAGACGCGCTGGCTGCTCATGCAGCCTTACATGGTGGCAAGTCGTCGGTGACACTTGCTAGTGGTAAAACTTACAAGGTTTCGACTGCGAAAAACGGCTGCAGATCGCTCAAGTTACCTGACCTCCAAGCCATGGAGCAGAACAAGAAGAAAAGCTCGGAGTGGGCGAAGAAGGCCAGTGCTGGAGTGAAGATTACCTGGTTTCTGCCTGACAAGTCTGGCAATTCACCCTCAACTTGGGGCCGCGTGGTGGATGGCAAGCTGGATACCCGAGGCAAGGCCATTGAGGCGACGGCAACGGCGGCACCGGCGCCGAAAAAGGGGCCTAGGCCCTCAAAGGAAGAAGCTTCAGCGGCTCCCAAGCGAGGTCCCAAGGCCAAAGCTGAGGCAAAGCGCTCTGCCAAGGCCAAGGCTACACCGACGGCCGCCGCGAGCACGGCGAGCGCGAGCACAGACATCGCCGCCGTGGACTGCGTCGCGCCCAAAAAGCGGCCTGGCCCAGCGGGTGCAGCGGACCTCGCCGCGATGGCTCCTGCAAAGAAGCAGAAGCTTCAAGATCAATCCGACGCATCAGACCCTTTGCAGCTTGCGCCTGTGTTTGCAGGGATGGGTCATGGTGGTACCTGGTTGAAGATCTTGAAACCTGTCCTGGAAAGTTTGAGTGATGCTGCAAGCTTTATTGGTCCCAGCCGGGACAAGGGCATCATCCCCGTCCGAGAACTGACTTTTCAAGCGCTAAAGCCGAATTTGCCGTCTGGATGGCGAGTGGTGTCCTTGGGCCAGTCACCGTACCCTCGCATAGAATCTGCAACCGGAATTGCACACTTCGATAATTCCATTACTTCATGGGAGTCGAAAAAGTTCGGGTCTGTCGTCACGATGCGTGCCTTTGACGCACGCTGGCACCGCAGTGGAAATTTGTTTTGGCCTTAAGGGGCTTTCAAAATCCATTTCATCATCTTCTCAGTGGAGCTTGGCCAGGTTGTCTAATCAAAGCAGCGGCAATGTCCAAGTTCAAGATTGCCAAAGCCACCAAAGTGCCAGACCTGCGAAAGCTTCTGGCCAAGGAGGGACGGCTTCTTAGAACCAAGAACGTGTTTAGTCCCAGTTTCTGCAGCTTAGCACAGCTGAAATCATGAAGTGACTGAGGAATTGTTGGTCCCCCCGAGTGGTTTCAAGCTCCTTAGCATACGTGGATTTGGATTTTGCCCAGGGCTTCGCGCAAAGTCTTCGCCATCATGTTTGGAACCTGAGGCAATGCTTGCACAAGGTGTTCTTCTGATGAATGCTGCTTGCACGATCAAGCCCGTGGAAGGCACTCGTGCCGGTGAAGTTGTGGAGGCGCTCTTGCACCGAGTTGTATAAATAAAGTGCATCGGATGGGACACGCTCAGCACACGCAGTCTCTGCCGTGCAGGCGTTACTTGTATTCAGCTGTTTCATGCCCTGTGAAAGGAACATCTGCTTTTCTGGCAGCCAGTCATGCAAGCCGTAGTCAATGCCATTCTGGAAGACTGCCAGAAGAATGATCGGCCCATAATCTTTGCTGCTCGGCAACATGGGCAACATCAGGACATTGTGACTTGAGATTCCGGTTTGAATGTAGCCCCGAAGTGAGGCTTGGTGGGGCACGGAAAGCTTGAAGACCAAGCGATTTCTGGACAAGTGCTCGTTTGCGAAGTACCCGAGCGCTGCTCGTCGGGGTCAACCAGTGGGCATAGAGTTTAGCTTCAGCGGACTGTAGAAAGATGCAGGATAGAACTGGAGTGGCATTATGATGTCCTCAGGCTTTCTTCAATGGTCGCCTGCAGTGGTCCTTCATTCCTTGTTCGATCAGTAGACATCCCGCATGCGAGGCTCTTCGTGACAGTCTGTGCCTCGTGAACACCCGATGTTATCTGCCAAGGTTAAGGTGAGGCACATCGAGCACAAGAATCCAGCGGCAATGGCAGACGCCTTCTGCGACGCGCCGAACATCTTCGACAACATCAACAAGGCTTCCCACATGTTTTATCTTTCTGGTCATCTGGCCAAGGTTGGAATCTTTGCAACTGCCTAGCGGCCTAACGGCTTCGCAGGCCATAGGCGAGCTGAAGCTTGGGAAGCCCATCGACTGGCTCCCCAACAAAGCTTGGAAGGCCTTGCAGAGTCTGGGGGGCTACAAGAAGGGCTGGAAGACGTGCTCTTGCCGAGTGAAGGCAGAGTTGGGGATCGATGAGCATGCTGCCGAGATGGGAGCCTTTGTGGCTGAAACTCAGGAGCTGCACAGGAAACTCGGACTGCTTGGGAAGCCCTGGGGTGTGTGCAAGCGAAGCAGCTGAGGATGTACCTAGAACGCCTAAAAGACGGCAGCGGCCTCAGATCCGACGCGATAGAAGCTGTTTGTGGCTCGGTGCAATGGATCCCTCCGTCAGTCTCCAGGCCTGGACAGCAGAGCAGACGACCTCGCCACTTGGACCTGCAACGTCCCGAAGCATCCGTGGTTTCGGTCACTGACATGTCCCGCTGAAGCCTCGCGAGAAATGTTCGAGACACAGAGCCTGCAGACTGTCATTCAAGTTCCGGTTTGGACATCATGTTTGAAGCTGGAACTGTACGGGTCTATTGCTTTCCTCTTCAAGTCTCATTGCAAGGAAGACATCCTCGGAGTCGCGTCGCAGCCGCTGCTCGACCTGCCTTCCACGTGCAAGCCCTTCAACAAAGTTGTAGCGGGAAAGGCAACTTTGCTGATCTTGTTCTTGTGCTTTGCGACACACGTTTTCCTTTCTCGGACTTCGCTCGTCAAGGGAAGTCCCATTCTGTGCCCAGTTGCTTTGAGGAGTCGGTGGTTAAAGCGGGGAAGATGACCAGATCCTCAGCTATCATTTGTTTACGAGGTCTGCTACTGCGCATCCACGATCCATGCTGGAACCAGGAGCAGGACTGACCGTCGATGAAGCCGCCGCCCTGCATTTGTACACCACCAATCACCTCTACAAGGCTGGTGCATGCAGCTCCAAGCCTCAGAGCCACCTCTCGAGCCAGCAAAGCGCAGAATGTGGCGACAGCAGTTGAGGGGATCATATAGGTTTATAGGTTTATGTCACATCATGATTTGATAGCGGCTGATTGCGCAACCCGATTCCTCCACATCCATCAGCTTGTTTCTGCTGTGTTAGAGGCACTAAATGCAGCCCTGAACCACGGCTGCATTCAGCGCATAGCCAAGTGACACTTGCCCATGGTCAGCCCAAGGCGCGATCCTGAGCGGAAGGAGAACAAACAGTATTTCCTCTATCTCAGGACCTCTCGGGGGTCAGGTTTCTGCAGCAGAGATCGTCCAGCGGCAGGCTGTTCATCGCGGCGATGGAGAAGCTGCCCAAGTCTACGCGACAGCTCTACAGAGGAGTTCCTTGGAAGATCGTGATGGCTTGCCGCATTGGATCAAAAAAGAAAACCTTGGACATTGGCTGTCTTCACTGATCGTCTTCTTCCTGAAGTCGCATGTTCAATGCGTTACTGGCTTCTTTCATTCGGGCTTGAACGGATCCCACGGTCTGCATACAAAAGAAGAGGGGAAGTAGCAAGAGCAAACTTACTGAGAACGTCGCTGATTCGATCAAGCCTTCCGTTTGAGCCAGGTCGCCCTGGACCTTGCGGACCAGTACCAGGTTGGCACAGCAGTGACCTGGTGGGCAGTGTGGCATTCTCAGGCTTCAGCTATCTTCAGCTGTTGCAAAAAGGCTTTTTTCTTCAGAGCTCAGGTCCAGCTGCACACCCGACTTGGGTGTGGCGAGCAGCTTCAGCGGCTCCAAGAAGTCGACGCTGTTTCTGATCACCGCTTCGCGAAGTGTTGGCATCCGGGACTTCTCCCAATACCAGAGCGAAGAAGAGCCGCTCGGACGGAGGCCATGAATCCTACGGCAGAGCCTAAAGTTTAAAGGCCTACGGCAGGCAGTTGCTTAGTTCTTGGTCGTTGTCTCTTTCATGGCGAAACCATAGCAAATTCGGGCTGAAGCCGACATGATGTGTTGACAGTTCTTGTCTGCCTTTCACTCCGACTCTGGAGAGAAATACCTGAGTTTACGCCACGCGAACATCTCACCTCTGGGTTTTGAACACTGTCGGCTCCGTGTCCCCTTAGTTCCCGCCCCCTTCCGTCTCGGAGTTGCTTTGAGATCTTGAACTTCGAACCAGTTGCACACGAGTTGTTGTGCAAATTAGGTGGGCAGCCTCATCTCTAATAAAAGACAGAAGAAGTTTGTGATCACTCTTGATGGCCTTGGCTGAGGTACATACTTGCCCCCGGTACCCAATTTAAGGCGCCTGGGTGTGCACTTCGGGTGTGCGGAGATTACAATGCTCACATCAGATTTGGGAAGGCGGTTTGCTTTCATGAGCAGCCAAGGTCACGAAAGTGGAGCGCAAGGGCTCGACGGTCGAAATTCACATGACAGAAATGGAAACCGCGAGGCCTGTTGTTTGCACTTCCGTCACTATGCTACTGTCATGGAAGGTAGAACTCCTGCTACCGGTGCCAGGAGAGTGCATTGAGTGCGTGCAATACGCACCACAGCTGATGTTTTGCTACTCGATAGCTTACACAAAGCCGACGGCCATTTCTGCCAGTGAAAGATAGTGAAAGAGTTGCATGCACCTCTTGCAGAGTCTTGGGTTCTGGTTGGAGCACAAGACCTGCAAAGAAACCTGTTTGGCTGAGGGTTAACTTCCATTATCAGCTCCGGCGTGGTGCTCGTCAGGCTCCACACTCCATTGCCCACATGAGCTCCAGCTGACTCCAGCTCCTCTGACACTTTGCTAGGTTGCTGTTCACGGCGAGCCTCGGAAAGGCCCTGACCCCTTGCAGGCATTGGAAACCGGTGACTCGAAACGAAACTTGCCTATGCCCTGCAGGCCCGAAGGCTTCCCCAATTCCGCTTGCAAGCATTGCTTAACGGCTTAACATTTTGCTTTGTTCTTGCGTCCCCATCTTGCTGAGGCCTTTTTCTGAAGCTTCGGGTCTGAGGAATTCAGGGCTGGGATAGGGTGAGTGTTTTCAGTTTAGGATTTATCCCGTTTGAGCCCATGTCTGCAGTTATGCTTGATTCCAAGCCTTCAACAGTTTGGGCTTTGAATCCTTGCCACGAACTTGAGAAACTCCTCTGTGCCCACCAGCCCACCAGTGCCCTACATCTTCTAAACCCAGGTTGGTGCTTGGAACGGTAGTTTGACAAAACTTGAGACCTCCTCAAGAGCGTGCTGTGCTTTTGCTGCCCAGCCCACAGAGGGTACCTGTCGTGATTTGCATTGGGCGAAGCAGCATGGCCGGAGAAGGTCGTCACTGTTTCCAAGTCGTCGAGTTCTTGCAGGTTCCACAGTCACAGCCGCAGCTTGTGTTTGCGCCGAAGCGGCTTGATTGACGCTTCGGATCAAAGCCAGGCTTCTTTGCACGATGCTAGCCGAACGAGCAAAACTCATCAGCTACAAAGGCTTTAACAGTTGATTCTCACAGCACGAACATCGTCCCGGTGCACCTCATTGTTGCATGTAGCCTGCCAAGATGTCGCACCCTCCATGATACGAGCTCCCATCATCAACACGGCGCTAAATGCTGCCAGCACATTGCGACAAGTCTTGTCGGGCAAGAACGCTTTCGAGGAGGTGATTTCAGCCAGAGGGGCGCAAGAACTTTGCCTTCGCGATGTTTCATCTGCGCCGCTTTGGCTGCTTGCATGTAGACGAGCACGAGGTCACGCCGAAAAGGCTTTTGCCACAGGCTGCCCGACCGAAGTGGCAACCAGCCTTGCACGCTGGTCCGAGCTGACCCGCTTCGGACAGGCCTGCGACTTGCATAGATAAATGGCTGAATTCCACAGCAAGCTTTGAAGGTGTTGCAACACGTGGGTGTACTCAGACCTGCACTGCTACAAAGACTTGCACTCAACTTCCACAATAGCCTTTGCCGTGATGGTGTTGGCTCCAATCACAAGCCTACCTTGCTAAGGACATTTGACCAAGCTTGCCAACAGCTGGTATGAAACGGTTGGCAGCTCAGAATGTAAAGCAACAGAATTTTGGCAACCGCAGTCGTCTTGCTCAGGCAGTGGCTAGAGGAGTCCAGTCGGGGCTCCTCAATCCTGCAGCACCGAGCTTAGACTCAGACTTTAACACACGGCAGTTGATCTGTGAATGCCTCTGTGACGATGCGCAGTGGCCGATGCCGCGCAAGTTTCTGGACGAAGTACTTGGTCCTGATATACTAGCCGCACGCAGATTACACTAACTTCAAACGCAGTTGTTTTATGTCGCGTGATCCCGTGAATGAACGGATTTTGACTGAGGAGGTGCGGGGCATCCCCGCTTCTGTTCTGTTACGTGCCTCTGTCGAGGTGCGGTGTGGTGCATGATGACGTCTTGCCAACATGCTGGTCCTGTGTGATGAGCGAGTGTCGAGTTCCTGCTTTCGTGCATCTCGAGTAACTCGCGAGCATAGAATATCATAGAATTACAACGAGGCTTTCAGGTTGCGTCAGCCTGAGACGCAGTTACCACCTATGCAGTCGTCTGAGAGTCGAAGAACATGATGCCAAAGAACAACAACTGTGTGGCCATAGGCAAGAGTCGTGTGCCTATGTAGACAGCACCATCTACCTCGAAAGTATCCTGCCATTGCGAAACTTCTACGTCTTCGTGTTCAGGTACGTCCCAAGCTTCGTCGTGCGTGCAGATGAAGCACTCATCCTGTCACTGTAGCCCTGCATGGGATCGACTACCCAAGCTTTCGCGATCCGCCTCAGCCCTTGCGCAGTGTGAAAGAGCTTCATGCACTGCATCGCCACAGTTCCCACTTCTGTGGGGAGATGCGCTCGTGCACGAGATTAAGTGTGGCTCCATGCAGGTGCAACCCTGTCCAAGACTCACTACAACCTTGACGAGGATGTGCGAAAAGACGCCCAACCAAAGCGCAACAAAGAGCTCGAACAAGTCACATTTCACCCTAAACAGCAGCCCCAGCTGGGCCGCTCCAGTTTGAAAGTGAGCCAGAAGTGACTTCGGCCATTCTAAGTGGGGCTAAGCCACCATGGAGCTGGAGAGCTCCCGATCACTTGTCTCGGTGGATGCTGGTGAACAGACTTCCAGACAAGTTTTCCTACGAGCTGTTGGATGCATCGAAACAGACATTCCGCGGCTTGGTGAGAGCCATTTGCCTCACAATCATAGCATGGACCACTTCACACGACTCGCATACGTGCCTTGCAGCAGCAGCTCCTACTCGGAGAGTAGTGCATTGGGAGCAAAAGCCGAATGCAGGAAGCACTCCAACTGGAAGAAGCATAGCTCATCTAGAGCTTTGCGATTGCAGACCTGCAAAGCATCGAAGAAAGTGCAGGACTCGACGTCCGAGCTCGTTGTCGGGAACTCAAGCGAACTTGAGTTCACAAGGTCGTCGACTGGTCTCCAGATGTGATTGCTTGGCCAGACGCTGGCACAGAAGCAGCAGGAGAATTTGCAGGTCTGCCTGCAGCAAGGCAGATCTCTTTGCTGTCCGAGGGTTGCGTGGTCTGAGCAAAGTCCGGAAGCAGGCTTGGCTGGACAAAAATTCTTGCACATGAACGATGAGGTGCATACTGCACGGGTGAGGTGAGGTGAAAGTGTTCTTTCTGTCAGGGCTCTCTGCGCATGCCGAGATCAGGACCTTCGTGGCCTGACGGAGCAGATGAAGTCTGCCTGAGACTGAGAAAGGAGAACTGGCTGTATCAGCTTATCATCAACAGGACAAAGGTGTAGCCACAAAAGATCACGTCTCGAGTCGGTGTGCCACACGACATCAGCAATCATCTAGAAGAGTCGCCGAGGTATATGCTAGTGATCTTGGCTCTGCTGCGGTCCTCTCCTTTGTGGTACCATAGGGAGCTGACACAGCCGATGCTGCCAGAAGCTTGTCCGTACAGCAAACCGTTTTCACCTAAGGTTTGGCGCCGAGCCAAATACAAAGTTCCGGTTAGCTCGGTGCTGAGAAACCACGAACCACATCAGGAAGCGTCTTTGCACAGGCTCATGCGACTTCCCGGCTCGAAGCTGTTGCAGCCCATATAGGAAACAGAGGTGTCGAAGAAGCTACAACTTCCCGACCAAACCGAGTAGACAATGACAGGAGCCAGAACCACAACATGAGCAGGACATTGTTCCCGTCATCAATGCTAGAGTCTTCTGAATTTGCAAAACCGGGAAAAAGAGCGCCTAAAGTCCAGCGTGTGTCGAGTATTATTGTAGCGGTCAAAGAGATCTTGGCGCCTCAATAAGACTGCCCGGAAGCGACCATGGAAGTCTCGTCCGGATCGGTTTTTGATGTCAAGGATCGCCAGCCAGGTTTCCTAGAGATCTCGAACGGGGTGCGGAGCAAGATACGTGTTCAGTCAGGGTGCCCTTCAAATGCTGTGCATGATGAGATGTGCAAAGCTTCAGGAGCAGCCGACCCTGGCATTGGAGGCCACACGGACGGTGCACCATGATGTCATCATGTGCAGCCTACATCGTCCATTCAGTCACATTCTTAGTCATGCTTGGTCTCACGGGAACTCAGGCTCCCCAAGCGCCTCGTTTGCAGCTAATGCATTGGTCCTTTGGGAGGTGTTTTTGTTGTAGCAGTCTTTTTGTTTGAGCTCTTTTTGTTTGGTTCGTGGGTTGGGAATTTTGGATCCTGGCGTTTGGCTTCCTGGCTTCTTGGGTCCTCGTGTTTATTTGTGTTCTGGTTTCTTTCTTCGTCGCATCCTGACTTCTTAGCCTTTTGGCTTCTTGGTTATTTTCGGCTCTTGGTTTCGGCCTCGTGACTGCCTTGCTTCCTGGCCTGCCAAAGGGACAATGTATACGCGTCATATATACTTCTGTATACAAACTCCAGGACAATGGGGTCACCACACTTGCTCATTAGCTGGCTGAGGTGGATCTTTCACACAGGTCATGGTGTGCTTTGCGGCGCCCACACCAGGTGACACCCGCAATTTGACCAGAACAACTCCCTAACCAATGCGGCGTGGGGGACAAAGACCTACGGTTCCAGTGCTAAAAGACACACTGGGTGCCATTTTTTTGCAATTCCTGGATTTACATAGCCGCATTTCAGCTGGAGGCAGAGACGAGGCTGGGAGTCCAGCAGAAAGAAAGTAAGCAGCAGTGGTAGTAGTAGTAGTTGCTGTTGTGCGATAACATAGCAGTTGCGGTAGCTGCAGCTTTCTGTCAAGAAATTCGTGCCGGTTGCGTCTAGCAAAAGAAAGTTTTATGGACCGCTTTAAACCCCATCATCCAGGCCTTGTGTTCACCGTTTGCAAATGGAAGGGCTGCACCATTGCAACACCCGCAGCTTTCTTGAGCCGCACGAGCAGGAACAGCGTGCTGCAAAATGAACTGAATCAAGCACCGAACAGCAATGGAATGCTTCAAAGTGAGTAGAATAGGCACAACTGCTTTGGAACTTCAGCCGTGCAAGCTTGCTTTAAGGAGCATCGTGCCATCAAGAACAGAACCTATCTGAAACCTTTCAGAACCCATCATACGTGCCTTTTGTTTGCAATTGGTGGGGCGCCCCAGCCCAGTCGCTTTCTTGGGCCGTGCATACTTGCTTTCGAGAACGTCGCGCCATCGAGAAAGGATTGTGTCAAGCACGAACTCTTTGGAACCTTTCAAGTCCATAGGCAGCAATTGTTTTGGAACTTTTGCTGTGCAAGCTTGCTTTAGGGAGCATCGTGCCACGAACAACACACCCTAACTTAATGACCTAATAAACCCAATAGCTTGCGGCAAGACAGAACTCTACAAACTGGAATTCCCCAACAGCTTGTTGCGACAGACTTCAACTAGAGGTCCCAGGCCCACCCGCTTCACACGAACAGCCAGAGGTTACGTGACGGACCTTCTCTCGTGTGTGGAAGCAAATGACGCCAACCGCAGCCTCGGGAATTGCGATTGCTGAATAGTTTGCCGCAAAACAGGACCCAATATACTGGATTTCCCCATGAGCTTGCTGTAGAGCATGACCGTACAAAATCCTCGCCAAAAGACAGAGTCGCAGAATTTGCAGTTGCCCAACAGCTTGCTGCAACAAAACCCGAAGCCGACAAAAACTCAAATCGATTTCGGGCCCTTTAACTTATGCACTCCTTTTGTCTGCAGTTGGCTTCAGGATGGAGCACGATTGGACGACGGCGAAGGTGTACAGACCATTGTAGTTGATGGTAACCCCGCACCTTGTTTTGCAATGGCATGCACACACTCGCAGATATCAGCGCAATCGCAAATCGCAAAGGTGAAGATGGACAGACTTGGTCCGCTGGTCATAAACACGGACGGCAGCATCGCCCGCCAGCCGCCCATCAACTCAGTCGAATTTCCGAACCAATTCATAAGCAGCCAAAGGCATCAACAACTGGCACGAGATGACAGAGCACGAGCAGACAAACACGCTGCGAGTCCTTGGCAAAAGGAACAAGATGAGGCAACCAACCCGCGTAAATTTACATTTGATGTTGCTTGGACGGTCCTTGCTCCTTGCAAAACGAGTGTGACGACAGGCTTGCGAAGCTGCAGCAAGAGCTGCACGAGGGTGCAAGTGCAACGGGCGATGCAGACCCCGTCGCCGATAGCACGAAGGCCCATTGACCTCCAGCAGAGGAGATGCTACATTGGCCAGCTGCAAGTTTTAACCTGTACAGTCACTGCAGCGTGGCACGGGCGAGGACTCCTGGGTAGCTTGCCAAAACTGTATTGGCTGTCCGAAAGACCGAGCCATCTAGCCTTGCCCATGCTGAAAAGAGGCTTCATGTCGATGCCTGTGCCGTGTCACAAGCAAATATGAGAGACCGGGACATGATGTGTGTACTAGATGATGCGCTTCAACTGGATAATCCTTTCTCTGCAGATGGCCATCTCCCAGGCTGGCAGGACATGCACAAGATTTCGGATTATTGCCAAAACGCCTCCACGCGACAACGCATGTTCGAGGACTTGCGGCTGCATTTTCACGTAATTCTCTGGCTTTGCTCGTTCAATGTACGACTTAAGCTGCTCAGGCGTACTATGGGGGTTTCGACACCTCCGTGGACGAGGCTCGGTCGAGTGCGACTGGAGAAAAGCCTGCTTCTGTCTCCCGCGAGGCGGCTCTTGAGCTTCTGAGCGGGCTTGGCAAAGTTTGCTTGTACAGATTCTGAGAGATGTCGGCTACTCTACGCATCAGGAACACGCCGGCAGATTGCTCAAAAGCTGGGCTTCAGGACTTGCACACGGCACTTCGCAGAATTCCTTCGCTGGCAGCCTGCAGGAGTTGGGCTGACCTGGAGATGGCACCTTTGGCTCTGGGCGATGAGGCAGCTGCCACAAAAGCTGGACCAGTGGCGACAAGCCGACGCTGCGTCCGAGGCAGGAGCACGTCGTTTCCTGGACCTCTGACGGGAGCTCGGGTCTTCCTTGTCCGGGCGTGGCGTGGCGCTCTGGTCACGGGGACAGAGTCTGCCTACTGCAGGCTGGAAGGATGCTCAGGCGTCTCTTGCTCCCGTCAGATCCTCTATCGGAAACAGTGCGAAGCGGTTTTCGCCTAGCTGTGCAAAGGTGCACAAGCGAATAGAAGAACGGAGCTCAAGAGACACATCAGGCCGATTTCAAGCCGCCTCAAGTTGAGACAACGAGGAGTATAGGTTCTTGACCAGGTTCCGCCCAACGAGGCCACAAAGTCAGCCAGGTCGATGAGGCAACGGGTGAGCTCTTGATAGTTCTTCCGGGGCGACCAAACACCACGGCTGGTTGCTTCGTACTCGCAATCAAGTTGTGACATACATAGCGTAAGGTGATTTTTTTTTGCTACGGCCCTGCGCGCGGTATGGCGCGCATTGGCGCCGGCTGAAGCACTCTAAGGTGTCTGGCTATGAGGGCATACTTAAAGTGTGGCCCAAAGATGCTATGTCCCGAGGCGGAGTGGTCATAGATTTCTTTGAAATGACGCTTAGCAGTGGTTTCTGCCCAATAAGCTATCTGTCTTCCCCTTCGGCGTCCTTGAAGCTTGATTCGATCTTTATAAGGCTCCTGAAAGACTACACTGTAAACCGGTTCATGGGGAGCGGTTTGATAAACTCTGGTCATGCACTTACGTTCAAGCTTGAGGAGCATATCGGAAGGGCGGCGGGGATATCCAGCTTGGTACCAAACCGTATGGTTAGTGATTCGGGAGAAATAAGCTGCTTTAATACCGATGACTCTGCGCAGATACCCGAAGTAAAATCCGTTAAGTCTTTTGAGTTGCGGTGTGGTCAGGGTAAATGCGTCAAGGCCGTACAGAAGCGTGGGTAAGAATACTGAAAGGAAGATTCGAAGCTTGGCTTTCTTTGGAAGTCGGCTGTTCCAGACCAGTCTTAATTTTTTGTACGCTTCGATGGTTAGCGCACGACGGTGATAGAAGGCCGTTTCAAAAGGTTTGTTCCAGGAAACTAGGGAGCCAAGATACTTAACCGAGTCCGATGTAGGTACCTGGGAGCGGTCCTGGAAAAATAGAGTTTGGGGCCCAAATCTGGGATCAATCAAGAGTTCTGTTTTTGTGGAGTTAAGGAACATACCATACAGAGAAGCTTCGACTTCCAGGGAGGAAAGTATCTGCTGCATTTGCGGAATGGTCAGAGAAATTAGTAATGTATCGTCAGCATACTCCAAGTCGAAGCAGGAATGGTTGATTGACCAAACGTTAGTCGGAACCCCTTGATTCAGAAGCAGACCCTCAACGTCCTCGAAAATAACCGAAAGGAGAATGATGAAGAGGTACGGGCTAAGCGGGCAACCTTGTCGGATACCCGATCCGAAAGCTCCAATCGCTTTGTCACCAGTTGCGGTATGTAGTTCGAATGACGCATCGTTATAAAACTGTTCGACAAGTTCCAGTTCAGCCAAGGGGAGGCCAAAGCGCCTCAGCGCAATGATTAAAGCGGAATGGTCAATAGAATCGAAGGCCTGTTTCCAGTCTAGGAAAAGTAGGTTGAGAGGCCTTTGTGTCATATTGGCCCATTCCATAGCCCTTCTAAGAACGAACAGGGGTTGTGAGGTGCCGCGGTGTGGTCGGAAGCCATATTGGGAATCTCTCAGATCAGCTTCGCAAAGTTTTGAGAGTCTGGCTTGAATCATGGAAGCAAGGATTTTATACGCCATATTTAAAGAGGAAATTGGTCGATAGTTTGCTGGGTCCGTGTCAGCTCCCTTACCCTTGAAGATGGCAACCACCCTAGCCTCTAACCAGGATTTAGGGATCTTCGGGTCTTTTCTGAGGTCATTGTAGAGTTGCAAAAGTTCTGCTTCGGCGGTGTGGTCAAGCATCTGAAAGAGCTCTCCCACTAAACCATCGGGGCCAGGTGCCTTTCCTTTTTTGATCTTGCCGATGGCTTCTTGGAGATCCTCGAGTGTGAAGTCCCCCTGGTCAGGTTTGGTCGGGCGTAGGGGGGGCCGGTTGTTGAGAATAGCAGCGTGTTCGTCTGAATCCGGGCGTTTGTGCCATTGTTTTTGTGCGTAGTGGTCCCGAAACGCAACATGCGTACGACTCCAGGGGACTGGTTTTCCATCAACGTGGAGGTGTGATTTTCTGCCCTGAAAACCTTTCTTTTGGTTACGGACGACTTTCCAGACTGCGGAGTGGTCAGCACGTGGGTCTGCAAGCAACTGGTCGTGCACCCACTGGACCCTATATTTTTTGGCAGAGCGTTTAGCCTGGTAAAGAAGCTGCTTGGCGTTGTCGTCTCCGTTCGCGCTAGCCGCTCGGGCTTGGGCAAGCTTGTTCAGGGTATTTTCCGTGATCCAGGGTCTGTGCGGTGCGAGTTTTTGCGTTGGGAAAACAAGCTTTGCTGCCGCGAACATGCGCGCCTCTAGGGTGTCTGAGTTGTCAGAGCGGGGTGCGGAATGGTCTGGATAGGGCGCCGTGGTGCCCTGCGCAAAGGCAGATTGTCTACCCTGATTGGCCAGATTGTCTGCTCTCTCGTTCCCTTCCTGCCCAGCGTGTGCTTTAACCCACTGCAGGTGGAGTTGCCCAATTGACCTAAGCACTGCACGGATATAGTTGACCATTGCTTTGTGCTTTTTCGCTTTCCATCTCCCCTTCAGGACGTTAATGGCCCACTGGCTATCCGAATGAATAACTACCTGGCGGTATGATCTCTCGTGCGCTAAAAGCGCCGCTTCAAGAATTGCCGTGAGTTCGCCTGTGTTGTTTGAACCTACCGCAGCTCCACAGTATCTAGGGTGGTTAGGGTCGGTGGGGACTGGTCCAAAAACGTCCTCCCAAGAGTCGTGGAGCCGAAGGCAGAATCCCCAACCTGCTGGGGTGGTGGCCGTGCATCTCCCTCGGCTACCGGAACCATCGGTGAAGAAGTGTTTGGCGGTATGGTCAGGTGGGGGGGGCGGGTCAATACCTGCGGAGGTCCCAACTTGTAGGGCATCCTGGAAAGCCTTAGTCTGTTCCGGCGTTGGTGCGAGGACCTGGAAGGGCTTAGGATTAGGGTTACGCTTGGGGCGCTTCGCCAGCTTAACCGAGATTTCTGTAACAAGCGGGTAATGGTCCGACGCAAAGCCGCAGTGCAACAAAGACCTACAAAATTTGACAGAATTGAGCCACTGTCTTCTGCAAAGAGTGTGGTCTAATTTCTGAAATCTAACCGGATCAACCTGTGGCGGAATGGTCGGGGGAGCAAGGAGTGAGGGGACATCCAGGAAGGAACGAATCCTAAAAGCAATGTCCAGGGCCTGGGGTCCTGCAATTTGCGAGGTTTTGGCGTAGAATTGCTGTAAAGCTATCGGGTCCAACACAAACTGCGACCAGTCCTGTGGGGGGGCCGCTTTGTCACGATAGGTGATTTGCTGTTTGAGGCAGGGGGTTCGGAAGCTACAGACTTCAACCATGTTTTCCTGTTTCATGAGGTTAAGGCAAAGGGTTCTGTTGGAGGAGGCGGAATGGTCGATGGCTTGGGTCCCTTTACCATAAACGAAAGGTCCCAACAGTCCCTGATCCTTCCTGTGGCGAGCCTGAAACCTCACATTGAGATCTCCTGTAAGGAAAACGGGCTCTGGTTGAGGAATTTTTCCGAAATGTGCCTCCAAAGTTTCCCAGAAAGGGGCTCTATCCTCCTCAAAATCCAAACCAGCATGTGGAGCATACGCTCCCACGATGTGAAAGGACCCACCCTGCTGACCAAAAGTGAGGCGGAGTAGTCTCGGGGAAACCTGCAATACGTCTTGGAGGTGTGGTCGAAGCCAAGGAGAAACAATGGCCCCTACCCCTGCGTATCGGTTTTGCTTGGTCCCCGAAAGAATCACCAAGTGCCCCTCCGATTGATAGGAATAGTACGAGGTTGTTTTGGTTTCCGTGAGGATCAAAACTCCCAGCTTGTGTTCTTGCATGATCTGGATACACGCCTTTAGCTTAAGAGTCTCCGCAAAACCCTGTACATTCAGGCAAGCAAATCTGAGGCGCTGACCATAAGCTAGAGGCGGTGTGGTCGGGAAATGAACCGAATGATGGCTTCGTTTTCTTTTAAATCGCCGTTGCCAAAGGATAGCTTGTTTGAACCACTTCGCTCGGGACTGAGCGGCGTGTTGGGGACTGGAGCGTGCAAGGGGGCGGGGTCCCACCCTCAACCCCCCACCTTTTTTGCAATGTCTTCGCCACGCGCGGTACTCCCTCCGACGGAGCCTGCGCTTGGCGCCCCTAGACTTTGCTT